CCTTTGTACATCAGAAGCCGCTCCAAATGGTCTCCTAAACTTGTGCATTTTGGCGTTCATGATTCATAGCTGTGTGTTTTTCAGCAGTGCAACCTTTTGAGGAAGCTGCTTAATATTCTGGCACTCCAGAGTTTATCTGCAGCATTGACATTTGGCTATGGTTAAGCTGAATCGTGCACCTGAGTTGGGTGCGTCTTCTGTTTCTGCAGACTGTAGAAGGGAGTCAAGGCCCTCTAGTAGAACCAGATCGTTGAGTGCTACAGTATTAGATGTGACAGTCAATATACTTGTTTGCGAAAGGTACTGCTTACTTTGTGAACCTGCTTTGAGGTAAGCCATGGCCCCCAGGCTGGGAACACTGGACCCAAATATAGAGACACTCTGTGCTGTTGAGTATCTTCTTTACCAAAGCAGAGTAACTTCATTACCAGAGCAAAGATTGATGATCTTGCAGCCATTTTCTTACAACTCTTTTCGTTGACTAACTGGGATTCTGGGCTTGTATTTCCATTGCAACATCTTTGCCTGGATCTACACCTCATGTTTCGAATTGCCAGCTGCGGTTTCTCCTCGGCGGTTTGCCCCTTTGTGCTTGGATGTGTTTTTCTGTTAATGCAAGCTCAGTAAAAATGTGAGATGCTTGTTCTCCCTGTCATAAGAACATAAGAGAAGCCAATGTTGAATCAGGCCGATGGCCCATCCAGTCCAACACTCTGTCACACAGTGGCCAAAAATACCAGGTGATATCAGGAGGTCCACCAGTGGGGCCAGGACACTAGGAGCCCTCACACTGTTGACCCCCCCAAGCACCAAAAATATAGAGCATCACTTGCCCCAGAGTCCCTATCTATACCTTGTGGCTAATAGCCATCGATGGACCTCTGCGCCATATGCTTATCTAATTCCCTCTTGAAGCCGTCCATGCTTGTAGCCACCACCACTTCCTGTGTCAGTGAATGCCATGTGTTAATCACTCTTTGGGTGAAGAAGTACTTCCTTTTATCTGTTCTAACCCGACAGCTCAGCAATTTCATGGCGTGCCCACGAGTTCTTGTATTGTGAGAGAGGGAGAAAAGGACTTCTTTCTCTACCTTCTGTCTCCAGTGCATAATCTTATAAACCTCAATCATGTCACCCCTCGGTTGTCATTTCTTCAAGCTAAAGAGCCCCAACCGCTTTAACCTTTCTTCATAGGGAAAGTGTTCCAACCCTTTTATCATTCTAGTTGCCCTTTTCTGCACTTTTTCCAATGCTATAATATCCTTTTTAAGGTGTGGTGACCACAACTGTACACAGTATTCCAAATGAGGTCGCACCATTGATTTATATAGGGGCATTATGATATTGGCTGATCTGTTTTCAGTACCCTTCCTAACAATCCGCAGCATAGCATTGGCCTTTATTGCAGTCACCTACTGTCTCGACGTTTTCAGTGAGTTTACTACGACTCCAAGATCTCTCTCTTGGTCAGTCTCTGCCAGTTCGGACCCCATCAACGTGTATTTATAGGTTTTTATGTTTGTATTTATAGTCTACTAGGGGAAATGCCCGTTGTGGGAGGAGGCAACGGGCCCTAGGGAGAGCTGTCGGCTTGGGGCAAGGGGGCTGGTCCCAGGGCCCCCCAGCAAAGCAGGGCCGGGGCGCAGCATGCGGTGGCCTCCCACATCCCCGATCATGGCCAGAGCCAGCCGAGTCCCCTCCAATGCAGGACTTGCAGCCTGGTCGGCAAAGTCCGCCTCGGGCAAGGGAAGGCCGGCGCGGCCGCCAGAAAGAGGCCTTGCGCTTGGCGGGGCCACAATCTCGCCCCACTGGAGGACTTTGCCTATCACCGGCGGAAAGGTAGGAGAGTGAAAACGTGCACGGCCGGGGCGAGTGCCTCAGGCCGCGCTGGATCGTCATTGCACGGTGCGTGGAGGCGGTGGTCGGCGCAGCGGGAGGGGGGCCACCACCTACCAGTCCCTGGGCGCGGTGGCTGAGGGATGGGTGGCACAGCCGCCTCCCCCGTCCCTGAAGCTAGGCGGCCCCGGTGCAGGGCCCCCTCCCGCCGAAGAAGGTGGTGGAGTGAGGCGCACCGGCCGGCCGGGAATGAGGTCCTCACCCGCCGTCCCCGGACTCACTGACATTCTGTTTCTCCGGGGCTGCTGCGTCCTCCTGGCGCCGGCCCCCGCGCAGCCCCACAGCCTCCCTTCCCCAGCTCCTGGCGGCAGCGTTCACTCGCAGTGTTCGCCTCCCGCGGCAGCTGGCAGGCCAATGGCTGACGGCGCACATTTTTTCTCCGCTCCCTTACTCAGTTATATATAAGGAGAGATTGGGTCCCCCTTGTCAGTCTTGATTGATGGCCGTGACCGCTACTATGTACACTTATGAACAAAGTTTGCATCCAGTAGCACCTTTAAGACCAACAAAGTTTAATTCTAGGTATAAGCTTTCATGTGCATGTGCACTTCTACACACACTTGTGTTTTGCCTCCCCCCCCCCCCCCCCCCCCCCGTCAAGTGCTCTCGGGCTCTAGCATTGTGTGGGGGAAGAGCCATTCTTCTCAGCAAAGAGGGCTGTACTAATTCTGTTTACTACTTTTTAATAATAGACTATCCAGTTGGGTGTCCATCTTTACTTATCCATTTTGCTTATTCTAAATGGCTTACTTATCCATATTGCTTATTCTAAATGTTTTTGTTCTCTCTCCCTGGCTTGCTGTGTGCCTAAATCTTATCACAAACTTAGGCTGTTGATAAAATTTGTGTCCTGTCTGCCCTAACATAATATGAAAATGATACTAAGATTCTAGAGTCTTAGCGGAGAGCTTGATCTTGTTGACTGAGCTCTTTTGTGCATTGGTACTTTCTATAACTGTTCAAATCCAACCATTGGAGTGGTTGTGGGTTAATAAACTGATGCTTAACCCTGACAAGATGGAAATAGAGATGTAAAATTTCCGGAAATTTTGAAGCTTGGAAAAAACTCCAGGTTTTTTCCGGTTTTTTTCGGGGGGAAATGGAAATTTTCGGAAAAATTGAAAAAATGCTACATTAGCATTTCTTTTGTCTTTTCTAGATTGAAAGTCATTCTGTTACTTTAGGAACATAAAATATGACTATGGACATTTTTACTTGGCATGAAATTATCACAACTAGCATATTAAAAATAAGTGTATCCAAACAATTATTACAAACAGAATACCCACCCACATGCAAAAACAAAACTGAAACCTTTTTATTGTCTTCTGACAATAGCACCTCCTAAAGGAAGAAATGCATCTTGTTCTTGCATTGGAGAGTTCAGTTTGTAAAAAATATTTGAACACCTTGTCTTAAAATATTTTATTCATCGTGTTAAAATAAAACGTTCCATAATCAATTTTTTTTTCTTTTTTCAATTTTTCCAATTTTTTGGAAAAAACCCAAAAAGGCTTCAGGAAAAAAAGGAAAAAAACTTTTTTCCCCAAAATTTTTCCGTTTTTTTCCCCAGGCTTTCACATCTCTAGATGGAAATGCTACTGGTGACTGGAAGGTACAGTGGTAGAGCATCTGCTTGGCATGCACAAAGTCCCATGTTCAGTCACCTGTATCTCCAGTTAATGTATCTGGCAGTAGGTGATGGGAAAGACCTCTGCCCGAGACCACGTAGAGTCACTGCCTGTCTGAGTAGACAATATAAGGCAATTTCATGTGTTCTTGTGAGGCTTAGAATTCGCCACGCTCTTTTCATTCGGAGGCTCCATTGTGCACATGAAATTACGTCGTTTTTGTAATTGGCAGGAGTATCAGACCTGTTTATTAAAGCATTGTGAAGTTACAACCCCTTTCCCAATGACTGAGCAACTAGATGAGCAGGCTTCTTTTGACTGGCCCATTGTCTGACCTAAGGTCCATGGTGTGGTGTTCCACTGTGTGTCCGTGTCTTCACTTCTTTGGTCAGGAGCTAATTTCGCCATCAGGTCGCTTTGCAGTGTCAGTGGAAGGTGGCAAGCCGAGCGTCTCCAGTTTGGTCCTCTCTGCTCATAAGGAAGGGAGGAAAGTGTGTGTGGACTGCTGCATGTGGTCGGTGACATCTGAGGCAGGCATGGGTTGGGGGGGGGGCTTCTTACCTTGCCTGCTTCCTTTCTCCTTCTTTCATACTATCTATTGTTAGAAATCATGGCTTTTGGCAAGTGTAGGCAGAGCAACTTGGCAACTCCAGACTGTGGCACAAAGAAGGAAAAACCGTGTACGCTTCCCTGAGCTCTGTGGAGGAAGGGTGGGATAAAGCAGTGCTTGATATAGGCGGGAATCTAGACAAGCATGCAATATCCACAGTATTCTGAATTCCTCCTTCATATTCTGTGCTAAAACAGTAATGATCGCAACGGTTTCTTTCAGGGTTACAGAATTCAATCTTCTGTCTTTCAGTCTTCATTTCCACCGTTCTTCACCACATCCTTCCTGCACCATAACCCCAGTTCCTGCTTCTTCTGTGCTGTGGCGGAAATGCAATAATTTCCCCCTTAAATTGCGTGGCCTGCAGGTGTTACTTTCTTCTTCTTCATCTCGGGTATCTTCTGACACACACACAGATGCAGTTACACCGCTGCAGTCCAAAAATTCTTAGGACCCAGAGGTTAAAAGAATATAATTCATCTGTATATTTAAATTAACCTAAGGAGCAATTCAGGCACGAGTGGCGGATATTTCTGCTTTCTAGTCTGCTGCTTTGTTATACCCATTTGGCAATTAACATGAGATTTGGGAATTAACTATTTGAAATGCAACCGGGCTTTGTAGTGTGTAGTGAAAAGAACTCTGGGGTTAGATGTAAAGCCTGGGTTCAGATTTGTGCTCAGCGGTAAGATTCATTGGCTGCCCTTGGGCATTAATCAGGATTTTTTTCGGTCTAATTTCCCATAAGCTCTGAAGTAAGATTTAGAAAGCAGTGTGCCTACTAAACGGTGTGGAAATTATTTCCAATTATGATTGCTGTGCAAAAGGAGAGGCCTCATTACATCATTGTCTCTTTCTTGCAGGGTTTTGACCCACCACATCAAAGTGACACCCGGACTATTTATATAGCAAATCGTTTTCCCCAGCATGGCCATTATGTTCCTCAGAAGTTTGCAGATAACAGAATCATCTCCTCTAAGGTAAGGGAACCCTAATTTACCTGCATGATCGATTCGTGGAGCATTCCTGGAGCTGTGTGAAAACTGCCATATACTGAATTGGACTGTCGGTCCATCAAAGTCAATATTTTGTCAAAGGCTTTCACGGCAGGTGTTCATTAGTTGCTGTAGATTTTCTGGGTTGTGAGGCCGTGGTCTTGGCATTGTAGGACCTGACATTTCGCCAGTAACTGTGACTGGCATCCTCAGAGGTATAGCACAGAAAGGTGGAGTACTCTCTGTGTCAAGGTGAGAAGAAAGATGGTAGGCAGGTAATTTATACCTACTCAGGAAGGTGGGGTAGGGCTGAGTCTTTATCTTGTAGGAGTTCCCCGGGCTACGAACATGCTAATGGAGGAGCTTTCCTGAGGAGGTTCTTTTGTATATGGCTTGTTTCCTGAGGAGGTTCTTTTGTATGTGGATTGGCTGTTGAAATTCTAATCTTATCTGTAGTGCTACTGTCAGATGTAGAGCCTTTTGTGTTTTTCAGGACAGTCAATATTCTCTACTCAGACTGGCAGTGGCACTCCAGGATCTCAGGCGGAGGTCTTTCACATCACCTGCTGCCTGATCGTTTAACTGAAGATGCCAGGGATTGAACCTGGGACCTCCTCCATGCCAAGTAGAGGCTCTACCACTGAGCCACAGCCCCTCCCCTGCATTGTGGCTTGTGGTTTGACCAAGGCTAAGTCGCCTAATACTTCCCGAAACCTCAGAATTAGGGGCATCCCTACTACAATACTAGTCTTACATACACCTTTTTGCAAAGTCAGTAAAAATTCCAGCTGCGTGAATTTTTGTGAGCTTTGTTTCTCAGTGAAATCACCTGCAAATGTTATTACAGCTCAGCACTATCAGGTCATATAGGGTCCACACGCCAACTGTGTAGTTTTCAGTCATTGGTCTTCCACTCATATTCTGGAAACTTTTACACATATGGAAAATATGCACATTGCCCTGTCCGTACAGTATGACAACCGCTCATATCAAGACGGTTGCAGGTAGTTGTGTGGGGTTAGTGGGCTCTTGGAACTCGTTGTTGCAACACCCGAAAAGGACTTCTGATTCTGAGCTTCTTGATAACACCAGAAAAGTGGTATGATGCAGTTCATCTTGTTCTTATACAACGACTTGTGTGAATTAGTGCTGCACGGTCCTCCACGGCTAATCCTAATTCTAACATGTGCCAACAAGCATAAGGTGTGGTGATATTTTTATTTTTTTTAGTTAATCTCATGGCCCATAGCAATGAACGCTGCTTTAAAATGCAGCAATTTAAAATCAAGTGACTTAACTGCAGACTTTTCTATGATTCCTGCTTGAGGTTCCTCCTTTAATCTGAAATCCTCAGTATTGGCAGTTTTCACCAAGTTGCCATATCTGTTACCACACTGGATCTTGTTTGAAAGAGAGGTCGTTTGGAAACGTGCATGTGCTTTGTTGTTGTTGTTGTTGTTTTGCCATCAAGTCGCAGCTGACTTATGGTGACCCCCGTGGGGTTTTTAAAGGCAAGAGACATCCAGAGGTGGTTTCCCGTTGCCTGCCTCTGCGTAGCAACCCAGCTGGTGTTCCTTGCCGGTCTCCCGTCCAAGTACTCATCTGAGGCTGACCCTGCTTAGCTCCCGAGTTCCGACGGGATCAGGCTAGCCTGTACTAGCCAGGTCAAGGTGTGCATCTGTGTACCGGAGCCTGAACATTAGCTATACTTCTAGGGTTAGAGGTCATGAGTGGTTAATGGGAATAGGCAGAGTATGAATGTTAGTAATTGTCTCCCCCCAAGACCTGGCTAGGAGCTGCGGTGGCTCAAGTGGTTAAGACGCTGAACTGCAGGCTATGGAAGGTCAGTAGTTCAGCAGTTCGAGACCCGGGTGCCGCATGACGGAGTGAGCTCCCGTCTCTAGTTCCAGCTCCTGCCAACCTAGCAGTTCGAAAGCAAGAAATTGCAAGTAGATAAATAGGTACCACTTCGGTGGGAAGGTAACAGCGTTCCGTGCGCCTCGGTGTTTAGTCATGCCGGCCACATGACCACGGAAACGTCTTCGGACAGCGCTGGCTCTTCAGCTTGGAAACGGAGATGAGCACCGCAACCCTAGAGTCGGATTCGACTGGCTTTCAAGCAAGGGAACCTTTACCTTTACTTTAAGACCTGGCTAATGATTAAAAAAAGCTTATCTCCTGTGACATCTGGCTAGCACCATTAATGAAGAACTAAAAGGGATGAGGGGATAGGGTCTTGAAAGATCATGGTGTTTGAACCCAGTGGGGCTCATAACACGCAGGTGGTATTAAGACGGGAAGTTAGTTTTTTTAAACATGTAACTATATTTACATTCCCAGTAGTCATGTATGGCTGCGAGAGTTGGACTATAAGGAAGGCCGAGCGCCGAAGAATAGATTCTTTTGAACTATGGTGCTGGAGAAGACTCTTGAGAGTCCCTTGGACTGCAAGGAGATCAAATCAGTCAGTCCTAAAAGAAATCAACCCTGACTGTTCCCTGGAAGGCCAGATAATGAAACTGAAGCCCAAATATTTTGGCCACCAAATGAGAAGGGAGCACTCACTGGAGAAGACCCACATGCTGTGAAAGATTGAAGGTCAAAGAAGACGGGGATGGCAAAGGATGAGATGGTTAGACAGTGTCATAGATGCAACAAACATGAAATTGAGCCAACTTCAGAGGACGGCGGCAGACAGGAAGGCCTGGTGGGATCTGGTCCATGGGGTCGCGAAGAGTCGGACTCGACTGTGCGACTGAACAACAACAACAAAACTATATTTATGCAACAGGCAGGTTTGTGACATCTGAATGCAACCTGTACCGTGGAGTTTACCTTGCAACTGTTGGCTCTAACTTCTCTTTTTTTCTCTACCTCTTGCAGTATACTGTGTGGAATTTCGTTCCCAAAAATTTATTTGAACAGTTCAGAAGGATAGCCAACTTTTATTTTCTTATTATATTTTTGGTTCAGGTAAGTCGGACAAATCTCGGTAACTCGTTAAGAATTTTAACTGAAATGTGGGGACTGCAGCATGGGAGGTGATCTAATGTGTTGGGGGCCTTCTTTTCTTTAAGCTTAATTGTTGTGGGTGAGAGGCAGGAGATGTTGTGACACTTACGGTGATGGAAGGGCACACTGGCATCTCTTGACTGGGAAAATGTGGGAAAGGCGCTCCTCTGGATAGAGAGCATCCTTTACAACCAGCAGGGAAAACATGCCAGTTTTTTAATGCATTAACACCTCTTGATTGGAGGGTCCATGCTCTGGTGGGCTTGAGCCCCAGGACCCTGGCACCCAGGTTGGCCAAGGCCCCAAGAGTCCACATGGGGGAGGATCTGAAAAGGAGAGCTGTTTGTTTGTTTGGGGGTTTGTTAGAGTGAGCTGTGGGTTGGTCCTTTTGGGGCTTGCCTATGTGCGTTGGCAATGAAGGATGAAAGGGGAACGATGCTAGAGATGTTAGCAGATGTGCTGGGGGGGGGGGGCATCAGTCAACTAGCCAAGACCAGATATGTTGTGGATTGCAGATATCTACTTATTAACTTTCCTTTTGTTAGTTTTGCTTAGTGGACCTAGTAGTTTGTGCCTTGTATTTTCCCAGAGTTTGTGCCTTGTAGAAATAACGTTGTTTAATTCATAGAATCTGGATTGCAGATATCTACTTATTAACTTTCCTTTTGTTAGTTTTGCTTAGTGGACCTAGTATTTGTGCCTTGTATTTTCCCAGAGTTTGTGCCTTGTAGAAATAACGTTGTTTAATTCATAGAATAATAGAATGTTAGAGTTGGGACCTTACAGGTCATCTAGTCCAACCCCCAGCACTCTGCAGGAGCATAGCCGAAAGATAGCCCTACAACATACCCGAAAGATGGTCGCCCAGCCTCCGCTTGAAAACGTCCAGCGAAGGAGCCTCCACCACCTCCCGAGGCAGACTGTTCCACTGCTCAACCACTCTTACAGTTAGGAAGTTTCTCCTGCTATTTAGCTGGTATCGACTCCCTTGTAATTTCCACCCATTAGATCTAGTCTTGCAATCCGGAGCAAGAGAGAATAGATCTGCTCCATCTTCTACATGACAGCCCTACTGCTAAGCAGCAGTTACTGGCCAATATGAGACTGTGAATATTGTTGGCCTCAAACTGATGGAGGGGGAGATAAATCCGTGCTTGATGATTGCTAAGCCAGATGGGAGGGGCTGTGGGTCAGCGGCAGATCATCTGCTTGGTATGCGGAAGGCCCCCGGTTCTAAATCTATTTCTCAAAAGGTTATTTTAAGAATCGTAAAGCACTCTAACTATGTGGGAAAGTATTATTTTGGCCCAGCACGGAAAATATTTTCTACTCAGTGCTAAAGAGAAAACCCTTTCATTTTGTCAAATTCACATACTAGCCAATGGTAGCTAGTGAATGAGAATATCCAAAAATAGGACTTTGCAAATGTAGAAACTAAGGTGGTTGGGCTTTGGCTTCAGAACATAAATGGAAAATGACATGAATTAGCGTCACTGTTGAAGGAAAGGGCATCTTCTGAGCTTGCTTTGGTATTCTGATTGGGGAGTTCCTGTCAATAAGAGCTGTCATCACTGATACGTGAACGAGACCCCTGTAGAATCTAGGCAGTTCCACTTGGCAATGTGTTAACTAGTCAGAGGGCTGTTTCTCACGCCCTGGTTTTTTCTTTCCTGACAACCTGGTTAAACTGTGACAGCTCTTAATGCCGCTGTCTGGAAACTGGGAACTCTTCTAAACACTTCCAAACAGTGTTCCCTCTAAGCTGAGTTAGTGTGAGCTAGCTCACAGTTTCTTAGCCTCCAGCTCACAGCTTTTTGTCTCTGCTCAGGAAGGACGGCTCCAGAGCAAACTAATTTATGCAGCAGCCCAATCGCTCGCTCACAGCTTTAATGCCAGTAGCTCACAAAGTAGAATTTTTGCTCACAAGAGTCCACTGCTTAGAGGGAGCATTGCTTCCAAAGTGGTTTGCTTTGTTATCTGAAGGTCTCTATTGCTTACATTTAAGGAACGGACACCCTCTGAGATTATCCCTTCCCTTTTGGCCCCATTCAGCTTTGCGCTGCTTGGAACACAGTTCAGCATTTCATTCCCAGGCAGGGCTGTTGTGTTCGTTTTGCTGCACTGAACGTTGTTCTTGGGCTGTTGGCTGGGAGCAGCCGGTGAGTTCCGCATACAGTAATCGCTCCTGCCTCTGGACTTCGGTCTGGCTCCAGCCAGATTCCCTTGTTGTACTCCAAGCAGAAGTAACCTGTAGCGAAAGGGTGCCTGGGGTCCCTTGCCTGGGAGTGGCAAAGAGCTCTTACTGCTTTCATGGGTCCCAAAGGCAGGTTGGTAGAATTAAACTAGGTCACTGTGTGCGACATAGATCTTAGTTTTTGCTATATTTGGCTTCCTCTTGGGAGACTTTCCTATCCCCCCCTCCCCCAAAAAAAGCTGGTCTTCTGACTCTGATTTAGTCACAAGTTCCGTCAGAGCTATTCTCTCAGGAGCAGTTCTCTCAGAGCTCTCTCAGCTCCACCTTCCTCACAGAGTGTCTGTTGTGGGGAGGGGAAGGAGATTGTAAGCAGCTCTGAGACACCTTCCGGTGGTATAAATCCAATGTCTTCTTCTGCTCCCGCAGGGTAGTAAGCTACTTCCCTGTAACAGATGCATCTGACGAAGAGAGCTGTGTTTCTCGAAAGCTTATGCTACAATAAAGTTTGTTAGTCTTAAAGGTGCTACTGGGGTTTTTACTATTTCCCGGCAACAGGGCGTCTAGTTCTGCAGTCCTTTGAAGAGTGGTGGAAATCTTGGCCACAGGGCCCAGGTCCAAAGGACAGCAGATCCAGAGTCCTTACTTCGTGCATCTCAGCCAAACTCCACTGAATACGGCATGCAGAAATGCACTCTGAATTGGAGTGTTTTGTATATTAGCAGTATGCACAGGAATTAGCTAATGCCATAGATTATTGGCCTACCAAAAAAAGTATCTATGCTGTAAAGCTCGTAGAAAGCACTTTGAGTGAGTAAAATTGTTGAATGAAACGATCATAGGGTTTTTAACGTTTCCCCACTTTTTGGATTTTTTCTTTTCCCCGTTCCCCGTTGCTGGTTGCTGGTGCTGATGGTACCCGGCACTGGGGTCCATTTGGGCCTGTCTGAGCCTTCCTTTGCAAACTGGTGGCTCGAGAGTTATTGTTTACTTCTAACACTATGTTTTTATCTCTTCCAGCCACCGGTTGCACCTGTTATCAGGTGGCTTCATATGACCAATGTGCTGGGATTTCTACATAGGAGAGTGCCTTAAAAATGTATTTCCCTAGCCATTTGAGAAAGAAGGAAACTCTCTTCCCCGTTTCTCTTTGATCTGTAACTATGACATCTTTGACTGCACCCAGAAAATCAGGTTCTCAATAATCCTGCGTAAAGGCACACCCCTTCCCCCCCCCCCCCCCCCGCCCCTTTGAGGTGCACCCACTCTGCCTGTCTGTGCAGGTTAGCGTATAGCAATGCCATCAAGAACCAGATGAGTCATTTTGCCTGGCTTTCCTCTCAGCTTGTCTCTGTGAGCTTCATGGGTTCTTTTGAAGCCTTTCCCACTCTATAAATAGAACTTGGTGGGAAGGAATTCCTACTGCACGGTGGAGGCCTGCTGAAAAGCTGTGTGCAGATGTCAATATTTGAGCAGTGTTTAACAGCAGTGCCGATGCATCCTAGCTTGTCTTGTTTTCCTTGCTTTAGTTCATCAGCATCCTAGCAGAGCCCTTCCTTCTGCTAGGAAATGAAATCCACAAATGCATTTCTGCATGCAACGTATATTCCCCGTGCAAATAAGGTTAGGATTGGGTACTGGTAGAATGGTAACGGAGTTTAATTTTGCATTAAATTGTGTTTCGATTGTATTTCTTTCTCACGTCCCATTGTTCCCCATGTGATCTTCAGAACGGTCTCCTCCTGTCTAGCCAGCTTACAGGGTCAAACCTGCTTAGCTTCAGTAGTATCACATCACAAGCTCACATGTTGCTTGTTCTCGTGTTTCTCAATTATCACTTATCCCCTTCAGTCCTGGGGAACCGTGGGGAAAAACTGATAAGACGCCATCAGATTGGTGGCTTAAATTGCATTCTCTCATTCCCTCCCTCCCTGTCAGTTCAAGACTTAATTACAGAGCACAGTCTTAGTAGAGGTAAATAAGGTCAGGATTGTGTTGACACTGTGCTACTTCTGGCCAGTGTCCCCTCTAAGCTGAGTTAGTGTGAGCTAGCTCACAGTTTTTTAGCCTCCGGCTCACACATTTTTGTCTTAGCTCACGAAGGAGGGCTCCAGAGTAACCTAATTTATGCAGTAGCCAAGTCGCTCGCTCACCACTTTGATGCCAGTCGCTCACAAAGTGGAATTTTTGCTCACAAGACTCCACGGCTTAGAGGGAACATTGCTTCTGGCTGCTCTAAAGTGCGGAATCAAGCTCTTGGAACTTGCTCCCTACGAGTTATTCTCTTGTTTCACTTAAATTTCTAGCCCCCGCCCCTGCATTGATGTATTTTGTAAACCTTTGAACATAATTTGACAAGTAGCAACACAGGGGAGGTGAACGCACTCCTCAACACATTAGACTGTCTTACACTGAGTTGGACCATAGGTCCATCAAGGCCAGTATTGTCATCACCAACTGGCAGCAGCTCTCCGGGGTCTCAGACAGAGATCTTTGACATCCCCTGCTGCCGGGTCCTCTTCACTGGAGATGCGGAGGATTGAACCTGAGACCCCCTGTGTGCCAAGCAGAGAGGCTCTTATACTGAACCACAGCCCCTCCCTCAGGCGAGGACTGGCCTGATCTAAGCAAGGTTTCAGAGTGTAAACAGTGGTTGTGGTAGATACAATTTTAACTAATTTGTCTCTTAAATGGCCTGACTATTGTATAATCGACTTCAGGGCATCTGTACTTTTTATTGGCATTATACTGGGGATACATTAAGTGCCGGAACGCAGGACAAAAAGCTACCCTGCTACAGCTATATTGTGCGAGCTCTCTAACTCTTTTTGCTGTAGTCCTTTTCATTATGAGTTCCTTCCCCATGGTGCAGTGCGACTGTAGCAACAGTACGGGTGGGACCATGGGCATGGGTCTTTCTCTTTTTATCATTAGCTGGCCAGGGAAGAGGATGGTCAGTGAAACTTCAGCTGGCCCCACCCCCACGGTCCTTTCATTCACCCACCACTACATAATCTGGAATGCAGACAGATGCCGTTGAACTGAAATTATGAACGAATAAGTACCGAGCTACCAATTCTGTACCAAAGTTGCAAATAGGCCAGTCTGACCTCATACAAAATAGCTCAGCCAAGCTCCTTCAATCAGTGAGATTCCAGTTATGTCAGCTGGATCACGGGCTGCTGGTGCTTCATCCAAAATTGTGCTCTTCTAAGGGAACAGGCTATTAGATGTTAATCCTTAGGAACCTCTCTTCGCCCTGATAATTTGCCTAAAAGCTATTCTTCTGGCTTTCTAAAGAATGTTTTAAATCCTCCTCAAAAGTAATCAGTCTCTCGGATTAATGTTAGAATTTTGGGATAATGGCTGTCCTGGAGATTTTCCGGAACACGCACGGCATACCCTGCAATATTTATTTATTAATTCATTCATTCTATCTGTATCCCAGTCTCCCCCACTATCGTGGGACTCAGAGCAGGTCTCAACATGTGATAAAATTATAACATAATAGAAACATACCAGTTTAAACCAGTTCCAAACGTTTACAGTTTATCAGATGGCACATAATAACGCTATGACTCTGCCCCAAGGGAAGTAAAGGATCTGTATAGGTGGGAATTCTCTTGACCCCACCCATATACTTGGTGGTACATTTCCATTTTACGGGCCCCGCGGAACTGTACCGAGTCCCGCAGGGCCCGGATCTGGTCTGGAAGCGTGTTCCACCAAGCTGGAGCCACAGCCGAAAAGGCTCTGGCTCTAGTTGAAGCCAGGCGAATACTCCTTGGTCCCGGGATCGTCAGTGTGTTGTTATTCAGAGAGTGTAGTGCTCTTTGGGGGGGGGGGTCTGCCAGGAGAGGTGGTCCCAAAGATACGTTGGTCCCAGACCGTGAAGGGCTTTAAAGTAGCGCTCTTCCTCTAGCGGTCAAGAGTACGATAGGAGTCGAGCTTGTTAATATTGTCCTGCTACACATAGTGCTGCAGCAGTAATCCAGCAGGTTGCAAAAGAAGCAATCATGAACTGTATTGTGGACTGTATTGTGTACCGTAATTAGATGGTTTTGTGTTGTTTTATGCTGCCAAATGGCCTTGTTAGCCGCCCTGAGCCTGCTTGGGCGGGGTACAAATTGATTAATTAAATAAATAAATGATGTGGGCAGGAAAGATCTGTTTAGGTTTAAGCTACGTCATGTAAGCACTGTGGCGCTCCAGTCTCTTTTATCATGATGAAGCTCCATTATGCACAGGCCCTTTCCATTACAGTTTCTTGGGCTGCTCTGTCATGGAATGGGAGAGGCAATCTTGGGAGTAAATCCCCGAGTCTTCCACTGAATGAAGTACCATCTCCCCCCTTCCCCCCCATGAAGAATACATTTGGCTCAGTGTAGAGAAACACATGAAGCTGCCTTATACTGACTCAGATCCTTGGTCATCAAGGTCGGTATTGTCTCCTCAGACTGGCAGCAGTTCTCCCAAGTTGTTAGGGAGAGGTCTTTCACATCACCTACTTCCCGATCCTTTCAACCAGAGATGTTGCGGATTGAACCCGGGACCTTCTGCATCCAAAGCAGAGGCCACGGAGCCATGGCCCTTCCCTGAAGATGTGGTATGCGCTCCCTTTGTGCCCGCAATGTGAGAATGCCGTGCCAAGCTTGTTGTTATTTAGTGTATATGCTTTTAAAGGTTTTTTCCCCCTCACTTGTGCTTGTGTTTATACTGTCTTCCCCTTTCTTTCTCATCCAGCTTATGATAGATACTCCCACAAGTCCTGTGACGAGTGGACTGCCATTGTTTTTTGTAATCACTGTGACAGCCATAAAGCAGGTAAGGAGATGTAGTTTACTGCAGAAACATTTCCATGGGGGCAGAATTGCACAGTGGGTTGTGGATCTTGCAGGGTATTTCTACCAATGGAAAGCCGATTCCTCCCTCATGCCATTCTGAGGGTCCCAATGAGGGGGGGGGGGGTGCGCGCGCGCATGCGCAAGAAAAGGATGGGCATCCTTTCCATTAGTGGAAGTTTCCATAATGTCTAAGCTCATACATGAAAAATGGCATCCCTGTGTCAAACTCTCATTGTTGCCACATCATCCATGCACAGAGTCTCTTACTCTATATTGTAACATCACATAGACCTTGAGAGCCAGTTTGGTGTAGTGGTTAAGTGCACGGACTCTAATCTGGGAGAACTGGGTTTGATCCCCCACTCTTCCGCAGGCAGCTTGCTGGTGTGACTTTGGGTCAGTCATGGCTCTCTTAGAGCTGTTCTCTCAAGAGCAGTTCTCTCAGAGCTCTCTCAGCCCCACCTACCTCACAGGGTGTCTGTTGTGGGGAGAGGAAAGGAAGGAGATTGTAAGCCACTCTGAGACTCCCAAGTGAAGGGTAGGGTATAAATCCAATCCCCTCTTCTCCCCTCTCCTCCTCCTCTTTCTTCACCTCTTATTTGTATGGCATAGGGGCATGTAAATGCATAACATGCTGTCTCCATGTAACATATGGAACTCTACTCTCTACAAGGGAAGATAGCAAAAACATGCCATGAAGAGGCCCTTTTCAGCAGCAGCCCTGTGTATTTCCCCCCATAATACTTCTCCAAGTTCTCTATCTCTGCTCACAGAATAGTGAGAGGAGAAGTATGGAAAGAAATGCGTAGCTGAGGGTCTAAGTTTGAGGTACAAACTTGCCGTTCATGAGCTTCCAGTTTAGTAGGTGTACTTCTGATCAGTGAGTCACCTAGTCCAGCTTGCTGGGTTTTATGGGTTGCCAGTTCGGGCTGTGATTTAATGGAGTGTGCTAAGCATGAACAGGAACACAGAGAAGTTCTGGTCTTCCCCACTGTTGCTGTCAGATATTCATGAAATATAACTGCATTTTCCCCTGGATTTGAGCTTCTAGCTGAAAACAAATGTTTAATGTTGCAGGATTATAGCCAGGACACTTTGTCTGTCTAGCTGCCCTGTGCTCGTGACACAGAGTGACATTTTTAAGTGGATGGTGATGGACTGACACACAAACGCTTGTGCTGTGGCTCTAGACATCTATTTTTATTATCAGTGCCTCCCCCACCCCCCACCGCCAGTTGTATTACACTGATTCAAAGGAGTGATCTCATTCAGTAGGAGAAGGAGATTTTTATGGAATGGTTTATGACCTGAAGAAAGCTACATACACCATACGTGAAAGCTGTATGCACATATGTCAAAGCTGCTTTGAAGCTATTTTGCCATGTCTTTTTCCTTGTCTGGAGGCTGAGAGCTTTCCGTGAACTCCAGTCTCCCCTGCCCAAAGCGGGGAGGAATAGTGACTTGGCCACCCAGCTTTCTGCCTGTTCTTCCCATTTGACCAGGATCCTTCCTTTGGTCTCTGTTGCAATCTGGGCCCCTACTTGGTTCAGCCAAATTCATGCCGAGGGAGGACGAGATGGTGGCTGTTTTCTTCCAGCTTTCTTTGACTCTTCTCCACATCAGCTTCACATGATTACTCATGCCTCCGTCGCCTTCTGTCTGTGGCCCCATGCCCTGTTGAACTGGTTATTACTGCCCTAAATGCGTACTTGTCTTTTTTATCTGCTGTGTTCAATTCTGTTGGGCTATTTTTAAATTTTTTTGGAGAGCTGGTGTGATGGAGTGGGTAGAGAGTTGGATTATGATCTGGGAGACCCAGGTCTGGATCCCCACTCTGCCATGGAAGCTTGCTGGGGGAGCTTGGGCCAGCCACGCACTCACCCTGACCAACCTCACAGGATTGTTGTGTGGGTAAAATTGAGGAGAGGAGAATGGTGTAAGCCACTTTGGGTTCCCGTTAAGGAGAAAGGCAGGGAATAAATGAAAAAAAATAAGTTTTATGGTTTGCTTCATACATAGCTTTTTTGGGGAAATTTAACACAACATCAATATAAAAATACTTCTAAATACTGGGGGAACCACTTTATAATGCACGCGCTGACTCTAAATATGGCCGCACGTTACATTTCTTTCCCTTTAACTCTGGAGGGAAGCTGTGACACCAGGGGAATGTGTTGAAAAGCCAGCCAATCTGTATCATTTCAATTTTTGTTCCCTTTAAAAGATATTATATTCAAGAAATCAAGAGAGCCAGTTTGGTGTAGTGAATAGGAGTGTGGACTCTAATCTGGGAGAAGCGGGTTTTAATCCCCACTCTTCCACATGCAGCTGCTGGTGTGACTTTGGGTCAGTTACAAGCTGTTTCAGAGCTGTTCTCTCAGGAGCAGTCCTCGAAAGAGCTCTTTCAGCCCCACCTACCTCATAGGCAGTGTTCCCTCTAAACTGAGTTAGTGTGAGCTAGCTCACAGTTTTTTAGCCTCCGGCTCACACATTTTGGTCTTAGCTCAGGAAGGATGGCTCCAGAGCAAACTAATTTATGCAGTAGCCAGATCGCTCACTCACAACTTTAATGTCAGCAGCTCACAAAGTAGAATTTTTGCTCACAAGACTCTACAGCTTAGAAGGGAGCATTGATCTGTTGTGGGTAAAGGAAGGGAAAGGAGATTGTAAGCTGCTCTGAGACTCCTTTGGGTAGTGAAGGGTGGGGTATAAATCCCATCCCTTCTTCTTCTTCTTCAAGTGAATGTTGAAAAAGATGTAGTGTCCATTCCCCATCAGCTGTCCACAGCACCCTGTCCAAGCTGGAAAGATGTATAGGAACTAGGTAGCTTTAATGAAATGCTATACAGTTCTAATGCTGTGCAAATCCCTTGCTTATTGGATTTGGGTTGGCCACAGACTGCACAAGTGATTTTGCTTATTTAATCTTCCCATCCCATCAAAGTTGGTGCTTCTTCAATCCCGGGTGGTATCAAATGGGTTGGATGATTGTCTTGACCCTTCAGGTGGAAGGAGTGTCCTGTAGAGGACCAGCTGACCACCTTCTGGCCTATCACTGGGTCATATTCTTGGTTAAGTAGTGATGTGTCATGGACCTCGATGCACACGTTGCAAAGGTGATTTCTTAGCATCATTGCAGTTTTGGGGCAGCTAAAATTTTTTGCAGGCTTGCCTTATATATGGTTGCTGTTGCCAGGGTGGTCTTTGCAAGGCAGTGGAAACAAAAGATACTCCTCAATTACAAGACTGGTTGTTCAAAATGAAGGAGATCTTTCCTTTATTATTATTGGATTTATGCTTAAGACCTTTGGTCATTTGAGCTTAATAGTAAAAGAATAAAAGAGCTCTATAGCCATGTAAAATTAACAGCATACCAGAAAAGCCAAGGCACACTCATCAAATTGACGTACTACGGTCAGGGCTGACTTATGGTCAAGAGACATTCAGAAGTGGTTTAGAACATAAGAAGAGCTCTGCTGGATCAGACCAGTGGTCCATCTAGTCCAGCCTCCTGTCTCACACAGTGGCCAACCAGCTCCTCTGGATGGCCAGCAACGGGACACAGAGACCAAGGTCTTCCCCTGGTGTTTCTCCCTGGCTCTGGGATCCAGAAGTTTGGTGCCTCTAAATGTGGAGGTTCCCCTCAGTCATCATGGCTAGTAGCCATTGATAGACCTATCCTCCATGACTCTGTCTAGTCCCCTTTGAAAGCTGCTAATTTCTGTGGCCATCACTACAACCTCTGGCAGCGAATTCCACATTTTAGTCACTCTCTGTGTAAAGTAGTATTTCCTTTTGTCCATCTTGATGAGAGTCCAATGGAGCTGGCTCTTTGGCCTCTCTTTAAGTCTAGAGAGGTAAGTCAACGGCTGGCGAATTCCTCCCAACTGGATCCTTGGGCGTGTCGTTCTTCTGCGAGACGCAGAAGGCATTCCACTCGCCATCTTACCAGAAACCCAACTCACTGGAAACCCGTCCTGCCTCTGTCTAATGACCCTGAACTTCCTGGGTGGTGAAATACTCGCCAGGGCTGACCCTGCTTAGCTTCCGGGATCTGACAAGATTGAAGGTAGCTTGGGCCACCTGGGTCAGAGTGGCAATACAATAGGCTGAATAAATGCTATAATTGCCCTATGTGGATAAAAGGATACCTATGTCCAAGCGGTTATAAAAAGGGAAAGGATGACAATGGTTTTAATGTATCTTGGTATTTTATATATCCATTCATTGTTTGTGTTTCTTTGAAGTTTTTTGAAAAGTTTTGCGGACTTTTCTGACTCCTCCCCCTCCCCCTCCCCCTCTCCAGGGTTATATAGACTGGTTACGGCATAAATCAGACAATGAAGTGAACGGAGCTCCAGTTTACGTCGTTCGCAGTGGTGGCCTTGTGAAAACCAGATCAAAGAACATTCGGGTAGGCACCTCAGTCGTGAGAAATGGGTTTCTGCCCAGAAACCAAAATTATCATAGATGGTTGTTCCTATGACGCGCTAGGTACTTTCATTAGCTGTATAGAGGAATAGGTCCTCATCCACTGTACGGTCCACAGCATTAACTATGGGTGCTAAAGTTCCGAGTAACCATAAAATGAAATCGGTAAAATAAAACTAATAAGCCCACCAAGAATATGATTATGGATTCCTCTGGTTAACAATGACGATAATGCATACATCTCTGTAAGATATATTGTATTGTGTTCGAGTTCATTCCTTCTTCTGTATTTAACTGTACTATCAGGTAAAAGAATTAAAAAAATTTAAAAAGGGGGGAAAAAAGGAATGGGTTTCGCTCATCCCGTCAGGTTAACCTTCAGTGTAAAATGTTTATTGCTTATGCATACTATTCGAAACCTTTCCACCCTGCAGTTTTCCCGAGAGAACTGGTCAGTTGGATTAGAACTGGTGACCGTATTAATTTGAATGTTTTGGTCTGGCAGGGTTTGTTTTTTTTAAGTGGCATTTGCATGAGATTGTTTTGTATGTCTTCGCAGGTAGGGGATATTGTCAGAGTAGCCAAAGATGAAACTTTCCCCGCCGATCTCGTGCTCCTGTCCTCTGATAGAGCGAATGGCTCCTGTCACGTTACAACGGCAAGCTTGGACGGAGAAACGAATCTTAAGGTCCGTCTCGTCCGCCTGAGCGTATGGCTGCTTTTGAAATTGAATTGAGGAATGAGGTTTAAGGTGCTATTTCCTCAAAGAGTTTCTGTGGTGGGGAGCTGTTGCAGGTGGTATTCTTAATTCCTCTAAGGGTGCTTGGGAGGGGGGGGGAGGGGTGATTTCATGTGAAATTTCTCTATATGTGCTCCAGAACATCAGAATTAGCAGTATACTTTGGAAGCAAATTGTGGTTCTTCCCCAAAGAACTGCCTTAATTGGAGGGGAATGAACTTGGCGCTTGAATGTGGTAATGCAATTGGTACATGTGCTTGTGTTTCTCTGAAATGGGTACTCCCGCATCTGAAGCAGCTCTTGGAAAAAGAAGTTATGTTGCGCCTTCAAGGATGGCATATTTAATATGACAGAAGCTTTGGTGAACTAGAGCCCCAGGGGGTTATAGATCAAATCAAACCTGAACTCTCCCTAGAAGCTAAAATGACCAAACTGAGGCTATCGTACTTTAGTCACATTATGAGAAAACAAGACTCACTGGGAAAGACAATCATGCTAGGAAAAAGTGGAAGGCAGCGGGTACTTTTGGGAAGCAGTAGAAAGGAGATTGTAAACTGCTCTGAGACTCCTTTGGGTAGTGAAGGGCGGGGTATAAATCCAGTCTCCTCCTCCTCTTCTTCTGATGCTTTCTGTTAAAAAGTAAAGGTAAAGGTTCCCTTGCTCGAAAGCCAGTCGAGTCCGACTCTAGGGTTGCGGTGCTCATCTCCGTTTCAAAGCCGAAGAGCCAGCGCTGTCAAAGACGTTTCCGTGGTCATGTGGCCGGCATGACTAAACACCAAGGCGCACGGAACGCTGTTACCTTCCCACCAAAGTGGTACCTATTTATCTACTTGCAATTTCTTGCTTTCAAACTGCTAGGTTGGCAGGAGCTGGAACTAGAGACGGGAGCTCACTCCGTCATTCGGCACACTCAGGTCTCGAACCGCTGAACTACCGACCTTCCACAGCCTGCAGTTCAGCGTCTTAACCACTTGAGCCACCGCAGCTCAGGTTAACTTTCTGTTAACGTTGACAGTAAAGAAATATGCCACTAAGACATTTCTGCTCATCCTTGCCCAGTGGAAAATATTTTGTGGGTGGGTCTCTATTTGTCTTTTTGTCATGGAGGACAACTCTTATCAGTTGCTAGCTACTAGGCATGGTGACTGAGAGGGAACCTCTATGTTCTGAGACAGTCAGTCTCTGAATCCCAGTGCCAGGAGATAACATAAAGGGAAGGTCTCGGTTCCTGTGACCTGTTGTTGGCCCTCCGGAGGAACTGGTTGGCCACTGGGTGAGACAGGATGCTGGACTAGATGGACTATTGGTCTGATCCATCAGGGCTCTTCTTATGTTCTTTTCCAGACTCACATTGCAGTCTCCCAAACGGCAGTATTGCAGTCAGTTGCCAACCTGGACAAACTTGACGCTGTTATAGAGTGCCAGCAGCCAGAAGCAGATCTCTACAGGTGTTGTGTTTTTTTTATGCTTGACTTTTTAAAGAGGATTTGGAAAGCAAATGTTTATGGCTATTCCGGATTGGGTCACTTTTGAGTGAAATCCCTCCTGAAATTGAGAGCTTGTTTGTATACATCTGCTGCTTAGAACTGTAAGCCTTGCTCAAAGAACTCTTTTCTTTTATTAAAAAAAAGTCAGTGATTAAGACAGTGCTTACTGTTGTGACAAGGGAACTGGTGAAATTGAGCATAGCAACCCCCAAAGTGTTTCATTTGTCTTTTGACCACTTTTAGAACTGAATTTAGCAGAGTAGGGTTCAAGCGAATGTATGGGGTAGGTTGCTGTGTCACCCAGTGGCTTTTACACTGTGCTATGCCGAGATTTCTCTGGAACCAAATATCAACCTTCTAAGCTGTTCTTCATCTGAGGATTTTTTTGCGTGCGTCAGTCTGAGAATCCCTCATCAGAGAAAAATAACAGCTTGGAAAAATGCCAGAGGTAGCTCTGGAGGGGGAAAATGCAAACGTGGCTGTTGCTTGCCATGATAAGAAGTATTGGAAAGGTGAAAATCTTGTTCCTTTACACTGATCCAGTGGCAGAGCATCTGCTTTGCATGCAGAGGTCCCAAGTTCGATCCCTGGCAGCTCCAATTTAAAAAATCTGGGTAGTGGGAGAGGTGAAAGACCACCGTTTAAAAGCCCCGGAGAACCATTGCCTGACAAAGTAGGCACTACTGACCTTCGTAGACTACTGGTCTGATTTAGTACAGATGAAGCCGCCTTATAACGAATCAGACCCCTGGGTCCATCAAAGTCGGTATTGTCTACTCAGACCGGCGGTGGCTCTCCAGGGTCTCAGGCTGAGGTCTTTCACATCACCTCCTACCTGATCCTTTTAACTGGAGATGTGGGGGGTTGAACCTGGGACCTTTTGCCTGCCAAGCTGAGGCTCTGCCAGTGAGCCATAGCCCTGAGACTAAAGGTGGAATTGAACCACTCTGTGGCTCATAGTGGACAGATTTATTTATATTTATTTATTAGATTTTTATCTTGCCTTCCCGGCCTAGGCCGGCTCAGGGCGGCTTACAGACAGAACAAAATTCCGACAGTACAATAGCATAAGATCACATAAATTCATATAAACACAATGTCAGTGCAGCCTCCCAGATGGCAGAAAGATGAGCATTTGAAGCAAGAGAAGTTTTCAAGGATTTGAAGTTTTGATTACTATTTTTTAAGAAATAGATTTCTTTTGTATGCCCCTTGTGAGTTTTGTCGAGGTCATCTTAAGTTCCCTTATAGGCTTTAATACTCTTGAAAGGCAAATGGTTTGTCACCTTGGACAGTTCCTTGATGCTCGGTCACGGAATTGTGCACCGTTGTGTCACGGCCAAGGATCAATGGCAGTCTGCAGATGAGCTCTCTTCCTTCTGTCGCACTCCATCCCTGTGTCATAACCATTTTAGCTGGAGGTAATGACCCTTGTTTCCCGAAGCACGCCCTCTTGATCTATGAATCTCTCCCACAGATTCGTCGGAAGGATAACCATAAACCAGCAGATTGAGGAAATAGTGCGGTAAGTTCAGCGCTATGAGGTGGTGCTTGCATTTTTACAGCAATACTCGGAGCAGGCCATTTCAAAGTGTGAACTGGCAAACCGGGCGCACCCTGCCAGTCTACTGGGGTCTGGTTGAATCCCTGGCTGAAGGTACTTGGATTAGAAAATTCATTCCCAAAGAGAAAACATTTCACAGGAGTTTTTCATCCACAAAATATCCCAATTTTTCCATTTTTCTCCCCTCCCGTGGGCCATCACGACAGTAGCTACACTGTAAAATCTCTGACTCCAGCTACCTTCCCTGACTGGTGTTCCCTCAGTTGCTTGCTAATCAGAAGAAGCCCTGCTGAGGCTTCCCTAACTGATGGGATGTGAGTGGGCACAAATTGGACTTTTTCTGGGCCAGCAGCCTCTTGTTGGAGCTCCCTTCCCAGCAACCTGCCCAGCCGACTCCCTCCCTTGCCAGTTTCAGGAGGCGGACTGAGGCCGTGCATTTTAGGAAGGCGTATAGATTGCTGGATTGGCGATGGCGTTTGGCATTTCAGCTGTGTGGTTTGGTTTGCCGTGCTGCAGATCTTTGTCTGCAATTATTTTTAATTGTTTTGCATTTTTGTTGTGAGCCTCTCCAAGAGACTTCGAGAATTGGCGACTGGTGAGACAAATACGGGGCTCACATCTTTCTTGCCATAAGCTGGTGACCAGTGTTCCCTCTAAGCTGAGTTGGTGTGAGCTAGCTCACAGTTTTTTAGCCTCTGGCTCGCAGATTTTTGTCTTAGCTCAGGAAAGATGGCTCCACAGCAAACTAATTTATGCAGTAGCCAAATCACTTGCTCGCAACTTTAATGCCAGTAGCTCAGAATGTAGAACTTTTGCTCACAGGACTCCACAGCTTAGAGGCAACCCTGCTGGTGACCAAAACATTCTTCGTTTTGCTTTAGCATCTTAATTCCCAGTTTGCTTGGAAAGGTCCTGCTGTTAATCTTGTGAACGTCATTTGATGATATGGTAGCAGACATGGTTTAAAACTGAGAAGTTTCTCCAAGGCTGTAAGTTCTGCTCTTTCTGGGTTCAGCCCATAGGCAGAGTACCCTTCTAATGGAAGGGGGGAAACAGCTTTTGTCTGTCCTCCGCCTCTATGACGGGCAGTAGATTCAGGGTAGACCAAAGGAAATCCTACTCTACAAAGAGACTGATTAAAATGTAGAATTTGCTCCCAGGGGATGTAGTGATGGCCACAGAAATAAACAGCTTTCACAGGGGATAGATCCGTGGACTATCAATGGCTGCTAGCCTTGGTGACTGAGGGGAACCTCCACATTCAGAGGCACAGAGCCTCCTAATCCCAAAGTCAGGAGGCAACATCAGGGGAAGGCCTCGGCCTCTGTGCCCTGTTGTTGGCCCTCCAGAGGAACTGGTTAGCCACTGTGTGAGGCAGGATGCTGGAGTACATAGACCATTGGTCTGATCCAGCAGGGCTCTTCTTATGTTCTTATCGGGGAAGGCCTCAGCCTCTGCCCTGTTGTTGGCCCTCCAGAGAAACTGGTTGGCCACGGTGTGAGACAGGATGGTGGACGAGAGGGATGGTTGGTCTGATCCAGCAGGGCTCTTCTTATGTTCTTATGAAGGCCTCGGCCTCTATGCCCTGTTGTTGGACCTCCAGAGGAACTGGTTGGCCACGTTGTGAGACAGGATGCTGGACTTAGATGGACCCTCACTGGTCTGTTCCAGCAGGGCTCTTCTTATGTTTTTACCAGGGGAAAGCCTTGGCCTCTGTGACCTGTTGTTGGTCCTCCAGAGGGAACTGGTGGGCCACTGTGTGAGGCAGGATGCTGGACTAGATAGACCATTGGTTTGTTCCCGTAGGACTCTTCTGATCTTATCTACCATTTTTTTGGCATCAAGTTGCCGCTAACTTATGGCGATCCTGTAGGGTCTTCAAGGCAAGAGACATTCAGAGGTGGTTTGCCATTTCCTGCCTCTGCATCATGACCCCGGTATGCGTTGGCAGCCTCCCCTCCATGTGCTGACCACATCCGACCTGCCGTAGCTGCCAAAATGTGACGAGGTCAGGCCAGCCTGGGCTGTCCAGGTCAGGGCCCCCATCCACTACAGAATTCTCTCTTCGTGCTGTTCTTCTGGCACCCCCCAGGGGGAGCCCTTCAGGCTACAACTGGGAGGGGAGCAAGAAGTAACTTTTCTGCTTCCAGAAATGGAAATTACCGCTCCATCTAAGCTGCTTGATACCAGCTGCCAGTCTGAACTGCTCCGACTTGCCGGATTAGGCCTTCTTGTGGGTTTTTGCCATTATTGGAGAATCACGGTCACCCATTTCAAGAGAAGCTCCTTTCGGAAACCCCTCCCAGCAAAGTGGTGCACGAAACCAGCAGCAGTTGCAGTCCTGAAACAATGCAGCAGTGAAAACAATAAAATCCAAAACTTCCAGTTTAGCAGCAGATAACGAAAGTAAGCGGATTAACCCCACAAGAACAGCTAACAAAAACCAGGAAGCGTTAAGTGGGAGGAGGGTTGGCAGTGTTTCTTTGGGTGGAGGCCTTAATTGACTGAAGCCAGCACTTTTATTTTTTTTATTTTTTTTATTTAGATTTCTATCTCGCCCTCGCCGCAGGCTCAGGGCGGCTAACAGAGCATAATGCCAGATAAAACAATAAAACAATATAAAATGTTAAATTACACATAGACAAATAACAAACAATTAAATAACATCCTAAAACAATTTTGGTGCTCCTCTATTCGCTTCACATCCTAAAACAATTTTGGTGCTCCTCTATTCGCTTCGATGTTAAGATTTTTAAAAGCAAGATGGCGTTCTCAGTAACTTAGCTAGACAACTACGGCAGTGCATATCCCACTGCCCTACCGTCCCCTAAAAGACGTCCCATTCCCTCCAATGATGCCCACATCAGGATGGCAATATGCGGACTCATAGGGCGTTGATGGAACAGTGAATGGTGGTGGCTCCTATTCAAAAGCCTGGCGGAAGAGCTGTGTCTTGCAGGCTCTGCGGAACTGTACTAGGTCCCGCAGAGCCCGGATCTCCTCTGGGAGCTCATTCCACTAGATAGGAGCCGCCACCGAAAATGCCCTAGCCCTGGTCATCGCATGTTTGGTGGTCCTGGGGCCTGGAACATCCAGGAGATTTAAATTCCCCGACCGAAGTGCCCTTGGGGGAACATGTGGGGAAAGGCGGTCCCTTAGGTAGGCTGGTCCCAAGCACTTAGTTGCCTTTGGACTGGACTCTCGATGTGTGTTTAAATACTGACACAGGAAGCGCTGGAGGAGCGGTAATTCCGAGTGTCCCAGGAGTATCTGTGTAAAAGGACCCGTTCGGGTGGTTTGCTTTTGACTTTCCAAACAACAGTAATCGTAACTTGTGCAGTAGAGCATTAAGCAGTAGATGAAATGTTGTTATCCGCCGTGAGCCCACTTGCGGGAAGGGCGGGCTATAAATATGAATAAATAAATCCACTTTGCAATGGGCAGAGAGAACTGGGGAAGCCCTCCAAAAATTTTTCTTCATGATTCCCGTGAAGCAGCACGTCAGGAGAAAACAGCAGTAATTCAGTTGCATATCCCCAAGAGGAAGGAATTAGCTTGAAATAATACTAGAATTTTTGAAAATCCGTGCAAGGGAGAGCAAAGAATCAGGAAATACCTTGATTTGGGAGGGATTGTGACCTATGCTCCCTCTAAGCTGTGGAGTCTTGTGAGGAAAAATTCTACTTTGTGAGCTACTGGCATTAAAGTTGTGAGCGAGCGATTTGGCTACTACATAAATCAGTTTGCTCTGGAGCCCTCCTTCCTGAGCTAAGACAAAATGTGTGAGCTGGAGGCTAAAAAACTGTGAGCTAGCTCACACTAACTCTGCTTAGAGGGAACACTGATTGTGACCGGTATTTCCTCTAAGCTGAGTTAGTGTGAACTAGCTCACAGTTTTTTTTAGCCTCTGGCTCACACATCTATGTCTCAGCTCAGGAAGGATGGCTCCAGAACAAATTTATGCAGTAGCCAAACCGCTCGCTCTCAACTTTAACGCCAGTAGCTCACAAAGTAGAATTTTCGCTCCACAGCTTAGAGGGAGCATTGGTTGTGACCTCTGCTTTGCAAGCAGAAGGCCCCGGGCTGAATTCCCAGCATCTCCAGCTAAAAGGATTAAGTAGTAGGTGGTATGAAAGGCTGAGACTCTAGAGGGACGCTGCCAGTCTGAGCAGGCAATACTGATCAGTGGTTTGATTCAGTATAAGGCAGCCTTGTGTGCGTGTGTGTCTTAACTGTGTGTTGGTTCTCTTGTGTGCCTCTGACTTTGATCGGTAGAGTGATCCCGCTCCCCGTCTCAGATTCTATTCTGAGTACTTCCAGGCGAAATAAGAATGTTAACTTCCTTGCTTGACTGAATGTTTTGATAGTTCCCGAAGATGAAAACGGCTGCTGCAAATGGTGCATGTATTTTCTTGGCCTGGAAAGGACCCAGCTTTATTTCTGTGGCGCTTTACCTTCAGCTGGTTCAAATTCATTAAGGCAATCAGTTTAGGAATGATAGCATCTGGCAGCCCCGGCAGTTCAGGGGAATGTGTGCTTCTGCTTTGTCTTCTGCTGTAATCGCGACAATGATCTTCTGCTTGCTTTCCAGACCTCTCGGACCTGAAAATCTCTTACTTCGAGGATCAAGATTAAAAAACACGAAAGAAATCTTTGGTTTGTAGACAAATAAGTGTATGCTTGAAGATTCTTGCATTCGTGAACCTCAATCCTTTTTGGAATCCAGTTATGGGGTGGAGGGGGGTTCCTTGGTGATGGGTGCAGCAGTTTGGGGCACTCCCTGACGTGGCCTGTGGAGGCGCCTTTGGGCACCACAGCCTAGGTCAGCACTAGGAAGCAGCCTTGGCAGTGGTGAACCGCCGTGGCTAAATAGCCCTGTGAACTCAGGCAGTCTCGTTAAGCTGCATTGTAGCTCCCCTTGGACCCTGTGTCAGAGTCACAACATTGTAACTTCCTACTAAAGGGTGTGTGGTTCCTGGTGATGCTTGGGAGAGCCACCTTAGAGTAGTGGTTAAGAGTGCTGGACTAATATCTGGGAGACCCATGTTCGTCCCCACTCGTGCCATGGAAGATCACTGGGTGACCTTGGGCCAGTCACACACTTTCAGCCTAACCTACTTCACAGGGTTGGTGTGAGAATAAAATAAGTTCTGTCACCCATGGAATGTGGCCAGTCACCCTTGACTGCTTTTTACAATGGTGAGTAGTCAAGGATGTTATACAAATAGATTCCCAGTCAAAAAGGAGAAATTGAAGTCAAAATGAGGAGGAAGAGCTTGTGTTTAATTGCAATCAGACACGGAAAGGGGCCTTGCACACACAGATGAGAACTGTAATCCTGATGCTCATTTACTGTAGCTTTAGCTGCTTGTCTCGTTGGGGTTCCTGGATTAACTATTAAGACTTCCAGGAATTTAAATGCTATAGCCTGTTCGTTGCTTCTTAGCATAAATGATACTTCCCAAGCTTTGGAAGAAACGTTACGTGACTTGCAAGCTGCTGAGAAAGCAGTCAGTTTTTGATGGGCTCTCTGGCCTAACTGTTTTCCATGTCTGGTTGCAATTAAACACAAGATCTTCCTCCTCATTTTGACTTCAATTTCTCCCTTTTGACTGGGAATCTATTTGTATAACAAGCCACTGCTTTAACGTAAATTGGCTGAAGGGGTTGGTGCACCTTTTGCAGTAGACTGATAGGAATATCCATTTTTCAGAATGACTATAGAATAATGCAGCTAAAGATTATTAGGTGGAATTTAAGGTGATCTGAAAGGAATTTCCCTGGCCACCTTCTGTTGTCTGTTGGATTATATCACAGGCTTGGCACTAAGAACCAACTCAAATAGCAGGGAAGGTACGGTTTCGGCCCTAGATTGTCACAACTGAGTATTGCCAAAAATCAGAGGCTTTCTCACTGCAGCAGTAATCTTCTCTCAGCTCCTGTTCTGAACACCCGAGTGCTGAAAATTTGCTTTTGTGTGGGTGTTTTTGTAGGTGTTGCGGTGTACACAGGAATGGAGACCAAGATGGCATTAAATTACAAGAGCAAATCACAGAAACGATCAGCAGTGGAAAAGTACGTGTTGGGCAGCATTTTATTTTAATTATAGACTGCAGTCATGTATTAAACACCCACTTATGTATGTATGGTAAACTTCAAAACTTGAGGTACTGAGGGTAAGAACGATACCTGGAAACAGAAGAAATTGTTTTGTCTTTCTTCTTTTAAACTTTTGGAGAACAGAACTGAATTTTCATAACTTTACCTTTTCCTAACGTGTTAACCTTCAATACACTGTTAGGAAAACCTGTTGAACTGCTTGAGGTGTGTTTATAACCAGGCCTTCTCCTTTGGCTCTCACAATACTTTCAATCTTATCTTTTAGCAAAGTGTGTTTGGTGTGTTCCTGTACAATAGTTGCCTGTATTTGCCATATGGGGGACCTTTTGATTCAGGTACTGCAAGGAACTTGATTCTGGGCACATTCCCTTGGTGCATCAGAAAGTAATCTGAGAATTACTTTTGTGGAGGCGTCAGGACTCACTGGTATGGCATCTGTTTTGTGTGCAGAAGATCCCAGGTTCAGTCCCCTAGCATCTCCAGTTTAAAGGATCAGGTAATAGGTGATGCTAAAAACTTCTCCTGAGACTCTGGAGAGCTGCTGCCAGTCAGAGTAGGCAAAACTGACCTTGATAGGTTGGATTCAGTGTACAGTATATATAGCTGATCTGGGATTTAAGGTGTCATCCATTCTGAATGTGATTACATTCCCCTTAAAGGAACAGTTCCATAGTAGGGGTGTGCAGGGGGGAAAATCCCCCCCCCCCAATTTGGGTTTATTGGACCAGGAAAATATTGGTATTCCAGAATATAGGTTTTGCATTGGGATTCAGGTAAATATTCAGGAAACCTGAATTTATTCGGCTCCATTATGCCCTATGGGGACTGTCCTCATAGGATATAATGGAGAAGGGATTTAATATATGTGCTGTACGACTCGGTGAGTGAACTCAGCAAGCATTTAAAGTTTAAATGCCTTCTAGCCGCACCCGAATAAAAGCCGAATATTGGATTTTATTTGGGCGTGGCTATTTCGGTAGCCGAATATGGATATTTATTTTATTATTTATTCAAATATTTAATCGGCTCAGTATATACTGAGCACATTCCCCTAGTCTGTAGTCTGGGGGTGCTCTTTGTTCCAGGCTTACTTTTGGATAAGTTGGTGGCAAATGTGACTAAGACTGCCTTTTACCAGTTTTGACTGGCTAGCTAGCTGCATCTTTTCCTGGACAGCAAAGATCTGGCCACTCTAGTGCATTCCTTTCTTATACCCTCACCTTGTTACGTTTGCAGTGTCCTCTACAGGGGGCTGCCCTTAAAGTTTTCAGAAACCTCAACTAGAATAGAGCACTGCAGCCAGAATGTTGACTGGAGTGGGTCATAGGGACCATATCACCCCAGTCTTGGCCCACTTACACTGGCTTCCAGTTTGTTTTGGGGGCATTTCAACGTGCTGGTCTTGACCTTCGAGGCTCTGTGTGGTTTGGGACCCATATGCCTGAAGGACTGCCTAATCTGCCTGGGATTAGCCAGGGGCCAACCCAGGAGCCTTCTCGGTCGTGGCACCAAAGCTCTGGAACCCTCCCCCCAGGGAGATTCGTCTGTCCCTTCCTGTTGCTGTCTTCCACCAGCGGGTGAAGGCTTTTTTGCTTCATTTTGCCTTCCCTCAATAATACCTCCTTCCTAAACGATATTTTTAATGCTTTGTATGCATTTTAACTCTGTCTTTAACTCTTTTAAAAATCATTTTAACGATGTATGTTTGGGAGAGGGGGGTTGATTTTAATGGTTTTATTGCATAATTTTATCATAGGCTCAAGTGGGTAGCCATGTTGGTCTGAAGCCATAGAACAAAGTTCAAGTCCGGTGGCACCTTTAAAGCCAGCGAAGTTTAATTCTGGGTATACGCTTTCGTGTGCACGACGCTTCTCCAGATACATTGAAACAGGCTTCCTCAGGCCTTACATATCATAGAAAATCATAGAATCACAGAGTTGGAAAGGGGCCATATAGGCCAACCAGTCCAACCCCCTGCTCAGTGCAGGATCAGCCTACAGTATGCCTGACAGGTGTTTGTCCAAACACTGCTTAAAGACTGCCAGTGAGAGGGAACTCACCACCTCCCTAGGCAGCTGGTTCCACTGTTGCACAACTCTTACCATAAAAAAAGTTTTTCCTAATATCCAGCTGGTACCTTCCCGCCCTTATTTTGAGTCCCATTATTTTGAGTCCTATCCTCAGCTACCAACAAAAACAACTCCCTGCCCTCCTCTAAGTGACAGCTCTTCAAATACTTAAAGAGAGCAATCATGTCCCCCCTCAACCTCCTCTTCTCCAGACTAAACAATCCTAAGTCCCTCAGCCTTTCCTCAAAGGGCTTTGACTTCATCTACCCTGTGGGATCCAGTCAGCTCTGTGGGTCCCAAGCAAGAAGATCTAGCTGAACATCCAAGCAATGCTATGTCCATTGGCTTCCTTTGGCCTGCTCTTAGGCTGTCCCATGTAACGTCAGCCTAGTTTGGTTTACATTTGAATAGACATGTTGTAATCACATTTTTATGTGATGCTTATTTTAAGGGGCTCAAGTCCATGTAGATGTTTCTCTATTCTTCCATGTTATCTTCAGAACCCCGTGAGATAGGCTAAACAATAGTGACTGGCCCAAGTTCATTCAGTGACCTTCATGGCTGAATGAAGATTTTACCCTGAGTTGTCCCAGTTCTGCACTTTCACCAAAGAATGGTACACTCCTTCTATCCGGGATGGTCATCCTCTTCAACCGAGTGCGCCGCTTTGGGAGGGATGCACATGGAACGGTGAGGAAGGTAGGGGACAACCCTAGCCAGCCAGATTAGCGGAATCAAACCCTGACAATCAATGGGGTGACAGATGTCACAGCCAGATCGCCCTCCCATCCCTCCACTCCCACCAATTCACTTGTTGCAACTATCCTTGCTTCATTTCTTTGCCTTCCACTTTGTTCCATACTATGGTCTTCACTAGCAAATGCATATATATTTTCTGTAGCCACTTAATAGGCTTGTTCTATCTTATGGTCTGTTGGTCTTCGCTTTTGTAAATTTGGATGTACATCTTTTGGTGTTTTAATCATTGGAGCCTCGAGCCACAGAAGACTGTGTACTTGCACGGTATTCTACAACCTGGAATGTAAAATGCCGTGCAAGTACACGCTGTCTTCCACTTTGGTATACGCTTTAGGTGGGGGGAGTTAGTTGCTAGGAAAGGCTAGTTAGAGTCAAGATGTGTAACGTATGCATCCTGACTCTAACCTTCCCCACCCTCTCTCTGCCCATATGTAAGGCCTGAGGAAGTCTGTTTCAATGCATCGGAAGAAGTGTGCATGCACATGAAAGCTTATAAATCAAACTTCATTGGTCTTAAAGGTGCCACTGGACTCAAATTTTGTGATTTTATTACGTATGTTTTAAATTTTTAGCGGCCTTGGCAACCTTTTGTAAGAACAGAAAGGCAGGATACATGTGTAAATATGTGTGTGTGTATTAAAAACTGAGCTATGGTATATTATAGTTGAGTGATGCTGTCAGTGTCCCCTGTCCCCTTGTAGCCACCACTTATTTTCTTTCCTTCTTTTCCTATTGAGTCAGCTCTTCCTTTCCCAAGATCCTTCCTCCTCCTGACTCTGTGTCTTCACTCTGTCCCTGGAAAGAGCAGTTTTGTCTTTCTGCAGCCTGGGGACAGCTAGAAGGTGGGTGGGTGGGAGATTTGGTTACAAGCCTCAGTTGCTCAGCGCTGAAGTCCTCTCTTCATGCAGAGCTCCGGAGCGGTGGCGCAGGCAGTTAAATGCCTGCTCTGTAACATCATCCGAGCAGCCACTATGGCTGTTCGAGTACCACCGCGGTCGAGGTGAGCTCTCGACCTTCGTCCCAGCTCCCGCCTACCCAGCGGTTTCGAAAGCAACCTAATTGCGAGTAGATAAATGGGTACCCACCCTTAGAGGGGTGGGGGACACCCTGTGTGGCTGGTTGAAAGACGGCGGCGGCGGTGATGACGGCGGCGGCGAGCATCGACTCGGTGTGGACGGCGTGGTGGCGTTGCGGCGGCGGGCACGATCGGAGGAGCGCGATCGAGCAATCCCTGGTGGCCGAGAGAGAATACACCGAATGCTGTCGTCAAAAGAAGGGGCGTGCGTGGATGCCGAGCACCGGCTCAGCGGAGTCGGAAGGGACGTTGCTGGGCCGGAAGCAGGTGGAGCCACGCGCCTCAGGAGGAAGATAGCCACCACCGAATGCCGGGAAAAAGAACACCCCGCCAGTCCAGAGACCCGACCTGAGCCAAGCCGATGAAGAAACAACAACAACAACAACCATAGGGGGGGTGCCGGTAGGTTGTCCCATCCCCGTATACACTGTGGCCCTAGTTAGGGAAAAATGGTGACTAGCACCAAAAGCCTGTAAGCCGCTCAGAGACCCCTAGCCAAGGGATTCGAGCAGGATATAAAGTCGAATGATAAATAAATAAATAAAAATAAAATAAAAGTAGATTGACTAATCTTTAGAGATGGCTGTCGTTTGCTTTCTCAGGGGAATGCACTTTTTTTGCCCACAAAATCTTTTCACTGAGCGCTTTTAAAAATGGGCACCCCCAAATTCCGTCTCTTACAGGTCTATGAATTCCTTTTTGATCATCTACCTAATCATCCTCCTCTTTGAAGCCATCTTAAGTACGATATTGAAGTACGCCTGGCAGTCTGAAGAAAAATGGGACGAGCCTTGGTATAACCAGAAAACAGAACGCGAAAGAAATAGCAGTAAGGTAGTATCTCTTTCTTTTTTTTAAATCTTGATGGTGGCAAATCTCATTTGCAAAGGAAGTCTGTGGCTTAATGGTAGACGCTGGGCTTTTCTTGTCGCTGTTCTACGTGGAACACCCTTTCCTAGTTTTTGCACTGTGCTCAGACGTCATTCAGATTTGCAAATCTAGATGTGTTGGCGGGGACCTACTCCCTCGCTTTCCTCCTCCTCCTCCTGCCTCTGAAAAAGGCTCTCGAGTTCTTTCAGCAGTCCATCTTCTTCTCTGAAGGCTGGGATTTGTAGTGCACCGGTGTGTGTTTGGGGAGGGGGGGGGGAGAGCAACAATTTGTAGGGGTCTTTCTCGAAGGACCTGGTTTGCAGCTTAGAGATGGTTCCTGATCTGACTTTACCCCAGGTTGCCAGTTTTTAAAATTGCAGCTCTCGGGGGAGGGGAACTTGCCCACCGTCATTCCTTCCCTGGTCACCCTTGAGTTATGCTGCATGTGGCGCCTGCCTTTGAAGATGCTTCAGAAACTGCAGCTGGTGCCGAATACCGTAGCCAAGCTGGCGTTGGCTGTAAGTTGGCCGGACCCTATCATGCCTCTATCGAAGCAGCTGCTGTAGTTGCCCACTATGCCTCTAGGCCTGAGTCTCCGGTCTGCTTTCCCTGAGAGAATACACCACATGAGCCTCTCTGGTATTTAAAATCTTCTGAGGAGGCCTGCTTGTGGCATCCACTTATTCAGAGGCAAGATTGGACTTTACCAGAAGCAGGGCCTTCTCAGCGGCTGCTCTGGCGTTTTGGAATGCCATTTCTTTGCACTCTCTGCTGGTGTTCTGCCAGTGTGTAGTGGTTGAGTGCGAGTTTGGTGTCGTGGTTAAGTGCATGGACTCTAATCTGGGAGAACCAGGTTGGGTTCCCCACTCTTCCGCTTGCAGCTGCTGGATGACCTTGGGCAAGCCATAGTTCTGTCAGAGCTGTTCTCTCAAGGACAGTTCTCTGTCAGAGCTCTCTCAGCCCCGCCTACCTCACAGTGTGTCTGCTGTGGGGAGGGGAAGGGGAAGGAGTTTGTAAGTCGCTCTGAGACTCCTTTGGGTAGTGAAGGGCGGGGTATAAATCCAATCTCTTCTTCTTCTAGTGTTCTGCATACTGTAGTTCTTACGATAATTTTGTGTGCACCTTTTGATTGTATGCCAGTTTTTTCTTCCTATGAAAAGGGGGATGTAGAGTATTCACATAAACCGCTGCAGTCTCATCAATGAGGTGCCTGGTCTGAAGGAGAATCTCTGTATCCCGAGGCAGTAAGTGTTGAGACAGTAGGCCTCTGAGTACCAGTGGCTAGGAGGCAACACCCGCAGGATGGCGGTGCACTCCTTAACCACTGTGCCCTGTATGCTGGCCCTCCCAGACCGTTTGGCTGCTACGGAAAATGAGATGGCGGGCTAGATGGGCCGCTGGTCTGATCCTGCAGGGCTGTTCTTATGTTCATGGCAGCACTCTCTGGTGCTGAGGAATTAGCCGTTTTCGTTTTGCTTTACCTGATACGAGGGGCAGGACTGCCAGAAAGGCAAATAAATGAGTTCCAGATCAAATAAAGCCTGAACTCCCCATAGGAGCTAACATAGCTACACTGAGGATATTATACTTTGGTCACATCCTGAGAAGACAAGCGTCACCGGGAAGGACGATAACGCTAGGAAAAGTCCAAGGAAGAGAGGAAGACCCAACAGGAGATGGATTGACTCCATGAAGGAAGCCGTGGCCCGCAGTTTGCAAGACTGTTAACGACAGGATGTTTTGGAGGCCATTCATTCCTAGAGTTGCCATGAGTTGGAATCAGCTTGATGGCACTCTCACACACACACACAGAAGAGCAGGGATTTAGTTGCTTAGAGGCAGTTCCTGCTTTTAGCAGCAAGGGAGTAGCACCGGTGGTCTAGGTGGAAAGTTCTTCAAATCAAGGAAGCCGTTGCGTGCATTGGAAGCTGCGCCTTGGACGTATGTACCTCAGCTGAGGTTGCAAGCTTTGTCCTAGCTGACTAGCAGTCTGATCCCTTGTAAAACAAAGTACAGTATGCTTTTTGCTCATGTCTGCAGAGACAGGCAGAACTTAATTATTATTTTTTTAGAATTTCTGTCATGCCCCTAGCCTTGGGCGAATCATAAGATTCAGACACAGCCCTTTCTCATTTTAGTCCTGCACCAGTCGGGCCCGTACAGTAGAAGTTCTGGCCCTGCTTTTGACTTTGGGGTTGACCATCTCTTATAAGTGCGTTTGCTCCAAACCTCCCCCCCCCCAAGCGACCGGAAGAAGCCATTAGCTTCTCTGGCTTGTTCTGTATAACTCTACGCAAAGTTTGTGGTCGGCCTTTTGCACCATTTGCATTCACGAACCAGCTGTTCTATGTCATTTGCGTTCACGAACTGCTGTATCTAAGAGCCAGATTCGAGACCAACAGGATTTCCAGGGTATAAGCTGCTGAGGAGTCAGTGGTCTCCTCGTCAGATAGGGCGGGAGCAGGGGAGACAGGGCAAGGGGAGCTCCTACCCTGGGAACCTTGCTGGTCTCTAAAGTGCTGCTGGACTCGAAACTTGCTCTTCTGCCGCAGACCAGCAGAGCTACCCAGTGGAAATGGCTGTATATAAATTTCTGTTGTTGTTGTTCAGTCACACAGTCAAGTGTGACTCTTCGCGACCCCCATGAACCGCATCACGTCAGGCCCTCCCGTCTTCCGGCATCCTCCAGAGTTTGCTCAGTTTCATGTCCGTTGCATCGATAACACTGCCTAGCCATCTCATCCTTTGCCGCCCCCTCCTCCTTTTACCTTCAGTCTTTCCCAGCCTCAGGGTCTCTTCTCCAGTGAGTGCTCCCTTCAGTCAGGACCGACAGCCAAACCACGGGGCACACACTTCCAAGAAAGGTTTTGCTTTATTGTCAGTACTATGGTTGCAGTAACACGGTCACCTTTAGGAATGACTAGCCAGGAACAAGCATACAATAATATAGCAGATTCAAAAGCCCCCCCCCCCACCTATGGGCCAATCGCCCCTATTCCCGCAGGCGGGAAACGGTAACCGACCCTCGGCTGAAAGACAAAACTAGTCTCACGGTTAATTACAGTGGAGACACTACATAGGCAGAAGTACAAGGTCAGAGATAACAAGGGGAGAAGCGAGAGGGAAGGAATGTGGCACCAACACGTACACAGGTCAGGCAAACTAACCCTAGGCCTGTAAGCCATATGGCAGCATAGCTGACACCTTCTCATTGGGTGGCCAAAGTCTTTGAGCTTCAGCTTCAGTCTCTGGCCTTCCAGGGAACAGTCAGGGTTGATTTCTTTTAGGATTGACTGATTTGTTCTCCTTGCAGTCCAAGGGGTTCTCAAGTTTATAAATATTAATATATATAAATAAGCAAGTTTAATTTCTGGTTTGCTAATCCGGGTTCTTTCCCTTCCTCTCCCTCTTTGTCAGATCTTGAGATTTATTTCAGATTTCCTTGCTTTCATGGTACTGTACAACTTCATCATACCCATTTCGCTTTACGTGACGGTCGAGATGCAGAAGTTTCTGGGCTCTTTCTTCATCGGGTGGGATCTGGACCTCTATCACGAAGAAACAACCCAGAAGGCCCAAGTCAATACTTCGGACCTAAATGAAGAGCTGGGGCAGGTATAAAGTATTACTTTTTAAAAAGTACTCCCCCCCCCCAATGTTTTTTAATTGGTAGCTTTTTAAATTCTCCCAAATCTCGTTGTGAACAAGTTATCACAATCCTTTTATGTCTACCGGGGAGAAACAGAGGTTTTTGAAGGCTTTCCAATATCTACAAGAAGTTTTATTTACTTCATTTATACCCCGCCTTTCTCCCCGATGGGGACCCAAAGCGGTGTAACATCATTCTCCTCTCCTCCGTTTTGTCTTTACAACAACCCTATGAGGTAGGTTAGGTTGAGCATTTGTGATTGGCCCCAGGGTACCCAACAAGCTTCCGTGGCAGAGCGGGGATTCGAACCTGGGTCTCCCAGAGCCTAATCCAACACTTAGCCAGCATACCACCCCACGCTTACTTATTAACAAGAAAGGGGTCGTGTAGTCATAATTACGTGACCGAGACTGCACACGCAAGTAAGGTAATGGTTTGGGTCCACCAGAGCTTTTCTGTAGGCCAGAAAGATTTCTTCCCACAGATTTTCTTGCCTCCCACTCCAGCTAAAGGCCCAGTGGGGCAAACGGAAGGCTCTGTAGAATTTCTAGAAGGGACAGCAACTTAAGTTGGCCGTTTTGCTAACCTGCAGAATGAAGCAAGCAAACATCTGGTCATTTGCTTCAACACATACAAGTGACTGAATCCAGCCTTTCATGGCATTGACCCTCACGCACTACCTTTTATTCAGAACTGACTTTTTAAATTTCGTTCGCGGCACGCACAGGCCTGTGGTGACCAGTATTCCCTCTAAGCTGAGTTAGTGTGAGCTAGCTCACAGTTTTTTAGCCTCCAGCTCACAGATTTTTGTCTTCCCTCAGGAAGGATGGCTCCAGAGCAAACTAATTTACGCAGGAGCCAAATGGCTCACTCACAGCTTCAACGCCAGTAGTTCACAAAGTAGAATTTTTGCTCACAAGACTCCACAGCTTAGAGGGAGCATAGAACATTAACCTAGACATGACTACGAGAGACATATGACTGAATTTCTTGTGTGTGTGTTTTGATGGTAAAAAAGCAGGAGGAAGCAATTGGAACCATGGTGTGGAGGAAACCAGGGTTGTAATCCTCCCCTTGCCCGTTGCATGTCAATTTCCCAATGTAAATGTGGATAGAGCATCAGACTTGTATCTGGGAGGACCCAGTATCGAATCCCCACTCTGCCTCTGAGGGTTGCTGGGAGTGTAGCTCTGTGACTGGCAAGACCGTTGCAACATTCTGATGGGGGGGAAGCATTTTTAGTTGTACCGCTTTTGAAATTTGTTTTAAATCACTGTGGCTCTCACATCGTTTTTCAACTTCTCACTGTTAGGTGGAGTATGTGTTTACAGACAAAACCGGCACATTAACGGAAAACGAGATGCAGTTTCAGCAGTGTTCCATTAACGGTGTCAAGTACCATGAGATCAATGGCAAACTGGTTCCAGAAGGACTGATTGAGGACATTCCAGATGGAATAAGACCTGGTCTGGTAAGTCTCTCTCTCTCCCTTTCCTACTATAATTAACTTTAGGTTTGTGGAACCTTTTGTTTGAATGACTTAATATACTTCAAGTAATAGAGTACACTTACAAGCAGGGGTCCATCAGTGGCTGTTAGCCACAAGGTATAGAGGGAACACTCTGTCTGGGGCAGTGATGCTCTGTGTTCTTGGTGCTTGGGGGGGGGCACAGTGGGAGGGCTCCTAGTGTTCTGGCCGCACTGCTGGACCGCCTGATGGCACCTGGTATCTTTGGCCCCTGTGTGACACAGAGTGTTGGACTGGATGGGCCATTGGCCTGATCCATCAAGGCTTCTCTTTATGTTCTTATGCTTATGTTGCAGAAGTCTTTATGGGGTATAATAGAAAAGGGAATGAATGGATTTGTGAGTAAACCAGCAACTAACCAGCTTGAGTAGGAAACGCAGGAGCCACATTCTGCCAAATTCAGTGGTGCTTATTCCCAAATAGATTTTTGTTGGGTTGCAGGAATAGGGCTAAATTCTGTCCCTGTTTCTCTAGAAGTGAGTTTTTACCTCATTTCAACACAACTTTTTAAGACTGAGCACAGAGTTCCAACCTTTGGAAGCATTTCCCTACTTTTACTGTGTTGGCTTCTGCTTCTGTAATTCCATTTTCTGCATTGCTTGATGTAGTCATATGATACTTTTTCGCTGTTTCTAATTTTTGTAATCCTCATCTTGTTGCATTGCTTATTAGACCTCTCTTTTTGATTGCGTTCTTTTTACACTATGTAATCTATCTTTGGAGCTGCGGTGGCTCAAGTGGTTAAGACGCTGAACTGCAGGCTGTGGAAGGTCAGTAGTTCAGCAATTCGAGACCCAGGTGCCGCATGACGGAGTGAGCCCCCGTCTCTAGTTCCAGCTCCTGCCAGCCTAGCAGTTCGAAAGCAAGAAATTGCAAGTAGATAAATAGGGACCACTTCGGTGGGAAGGTCACAGCGTTCCGTGCGCCTTGGTGTTTAGTTATGCCGGCCACATGACCATGGAAACGTCTTCGGACAGCGCTGGCTCTTCGGCTTTGAAATGGAGATGAGCACCGCAACCCTAGAGTCGGATCCGACTGGCTTTCGAACAAGGGAACCTTTACCTTTAATCTATCTTTGCCCTAACCTGGATATCCCAGGCTAGCCTGATCTCATCAGATCTCAGAAGCTAAGCAGGGTCAGCCCTGGTTTGTACTTGGATGGGCGGCCAACAAGGAAGTCCAGGGTCTCTGTGCAGAGGCAGGCAATGGCAAACTGCCTCTGAACAGCTCTTGCCGTGAAAGCCCTACAAAGTGGCCATAAATCGGCTGCTACTTGACAGCAAAAAAAAATTACAATGAAAAAGTCCATCTTCAGTGTGAAAAAGCAGACTGTAAATAAAATAAGAGAATTGACAAGACGTGTGTCTCGCTGAGCACCTGATTTTATGAAAAGCTGCCTCGTGAATATCCAATGTACACATTTTTATGGAGACCAGTAGCACTCAGTTTGCATTAACTGCACCAATTTTTTGCAACAAGATCCCATTGCTTCAGCTTCAGTTGGTAGAGTTTTAAAAAATTTGGCAGCAAACAACTAATCCTGGTAAGATACCAAATAAGAATTTGGGTCATAAGAACATAAGAGACGCCAATGTTGGATCAGGCCAAAGGCCCATCCAGTCCAACACTCTGTGTCACAGAGTGGCCAGAAATGCCAGGGGCCATCAGGAGGTCCACCAGTGGGGCCAGGACACTAGAAGCCCTCCCACTGTTGACCCCCCCCCCCCCCAACACCCAAAAAAAAAAGCATACCTCCCAGAGCCCCTATCTATACCTTGTGGCTAATAGCCACTGATGGACCTCTGCTCCATAGGCTTATTTAATTCCCTCTTGAAGCCGTCCATGCTTGTAGCCGCCACCACTTCCTGTGGCAGTGAACATAAGAACATAAGAAGAGCCCTGCTGGATTAGAGCAGTGGCCCATCTAGTCCAGCATCCTGTCTCACACAGTGGCCAACCAGTCCCTCTGGAGGGCCAGCGACGGGATAGAGGCCGAGGCCTTCCCCTGATATTGCCTCTTGGTTCTTGGATCCAGAAGCTTAGTGCCTCTGAATGTGGAGGTTCCCCTCAATCACCATGGCTAGTAGCCATTGATAGATTTATCCTCCATGAATCTAATCCCCTTTTCAAGCTGATTATTCCTGTGGCCATCACCACATCCTCTGGCAGCGAATTCCACATTTTAGTCATCCTCCATGTAAAGTAGTATTTCTTCTTGTCCGTCCTGAACCTACTGCCCATCAGCTTCATTGGATGCCCTCGAGTTCTAGTATTTTGAGAGAGGGAGAAACATTTCTCTCGGTCAACTCTCTCCACCCCATGCACAATTTGATAAACCTCTATCATGTCTCTCTCCCCACCACCCCCCCGCCCTTAGTTATCTCTTTTCTAAGCTTCCTCCTGGGGAAGGTGCCCCAACCCCCTCATCATCTTGGTCGCCCTCCTCTGTACTTTTCCCAGCTCTGCCATGTCCTTATCCTTATGCTTGCTTGGAAACGGCCCCCCCCCCATTTTTTTTTTGTCCTGCCATTCAAAGAGGGACGTATCCAGGGGTCATTTCGTAGAAAAAGAGGTGCAGGAGCTCATTAGCATAACTCATTTGCATATGCCACACACCCTGACGTCACCGGAAGTGTGTCACAAGGCAACACCCACCGCTCAGGCTCCACTGGACTGTTTTGGATTGCTAGCTATTGGCGGGGGGAGGGGGACATGCAGATCTGTCCTTGCAGAGGAGGGAGAGCTTGTACCTGAATAAGACTTGATCTTAAAGGTGCCACTGGATTGTTTTGGCCCGGGCGGGGGGGCGGGGGGGAGCTCTGCAACTTGCCTGGCTGCTTCTTGCTCTGACTGAGGGCTGCTGGGAGCAGGGGGTGGGGCTTGTTGCATGTGCCCGCCCCCTGTGCTCTTTACTGCCGGAGCTCCGCTCCTGTGCGCTCCCGCAGGAAATGACCCCTGGACTTATCCACCTTTTGAAGTAGCACGTTGCTTTAATGAAAAACAAACAACTTACTTGACTGATTTTTTGGTTAATCTTTGTAATAGTTCCCTTTAACTTTTTCTTTAAAAAACAGGCGCCAGAGGAGGAACTCTTCCTGAAAGCTGTTTCTCTCTGTCACACAGTGCAGATTAATAATGACCAAGCCGATGGCCTTTGCGACAATCCTTGGCATACCAACAGCATAGCCTCTCAGCTGGAGTACTATGCCTCTTCCCCGGATGAGAAGGCTTTAGTTGAAGCTGCCTGCAGGTGAGGATTAGAAACGCGGCGCCTGTGCGTTGATCCACAGGTAGAAATGGCAGCGCAGGCTGAGAGAAGGGAGGCTTTGTATGTCAGCCTCCGAAGTGTGAGAGGGAGGTGGGAGGAAGGGAAGTTCTGGGGAGGTGGGAGAAAGCAGATGTCTGTGGAAGAAAACCCTCGGGTGTTTCCCCCCCCTCTTGATTGTGATTTAACCTTATGATACAATCCTTGGGCCAGGCTAACCTGATCACGGAAGCTAAGCGGACCCCGGTTAGTACTAGGATGGGAGACCGCCGAGGACGTCCAGGGTCGCTACGCAGAGGCAGGGAATGGGGAAACCACCTCTGACGGTCTCATGTCTTGAAAACCCTAGGGAGATTCTAGGGAAGTGGGAGAAAGCCGGTGGTTGTGCAGGAAAATCCCGGGGTGTTCTGCCCCCCGTCTTGATTGCAATTTAATCTTACGACGTGGTCCTTGGGCCTTGATTCTGGATGGGACAGAGCAGGTAGAGAAAGAGGTACTTTTCTCCCTTTCTCACAATACAAGAACTCATGGGCACTCCATGAAACTGCTGAGCGGTCGGGTTAGAATGGATAAAAGGAAGTCCTTCTTCACCCAAAGAGTGATCAACACGTGGAATTCACTGCCACAGGAGGGGGTGGCGGCTACAAGCATGGACGGCTTCAAAAGGGAATTAGATAAGCATATGGAGCAGAGGTCCATCAGTGGATATTAGCCACAAGGTATAGATAGGGGCTCTGGGGCAAGTGATGCTCTGTCTTCTTGGTGCTTGGGGGGGGTCAACAGTGGGAGGGCTTCTAATGTCCTGGCCCCACTGGTGGACCTCCTGATGGCACCTGGTATTTCTGGCCACTGTGTGATACAGAGTGTTGGACGGGATGGGCCTTTGGCCTGATCCAACATTGGTGTCTCTTATGTTCTTATGTTCTCATCTGGATGGCCCAGGCTAGCCTGATCTCAGCAGATCTCCGAAGCCAAGCAGGGTCGGGCCCGGCTGGCGCTTGGAGTGGAGACCGCCAAGGAAGCCCAGGGTTGCTACCCAGAGGCAGGCAAAAGCTAACCACCTCCAAATGTCTTGTTGTCCTGAAAACCGTGTGGGCTTTCATAAGTCGGCCGCAGCTCGATGTCACTTTCAACCGCCATGGCCGTTGGGGTGTTAGTGGGCCGTGGGGGGAGGATGTTTCATCAGCGCCGGAGGAGCAGTTGGGGGGTGAGAACCAATAGACAGGTTGGGCAGCATTTGTGCCTGATGCTGTGTTCGCTCTTGCAAGGGCTCCCTCCACAGGATCCCTGTAGTATTGCAGCATGAATCTTATTCCTGCATATTAACCCCTCTGACTGCGGTGAGATTGGGGGGGGGGGGAGCTTTCTCTCCCAGATCAGTTTTTTTTCCCTCCAGAATTTGTACTTATTTTCCGTCATGTCTGCTGTAGAGGAGTCCACTTTGACCCACACAGAGGGTGACTTATGCTTTGTGCTGAAGGTCTTTCTTTCAAATCCTTAGGATTGGTGTGGTGTTTACTGGAACCGATGGACAAAGTATGGAGATAAAAAGCCGTGGGCGTCCAGAAAGGTAAAAATCCTTGTACTATTAAATTGCTGTATTTCTTAAAACCAGCTCGCTTTTTCCATGAAGATTCTCTCTCTCTATCTCTCTCTCTCTTTTTTTTGGGTATCAGTACACATGTATCCGTACGCATAAAAGTCCTTACTTTGGCAATTTTGAAGCATTCATGTTCTGTTTTTTAGTGAAGGGCTGAAATTTGAGAAGGCATGTATTTTGGCTTTGTTCATACCCCAGTTTCAGTCTATGGTATTCAAGAGGAGACGGGAAAGACTTGTGCCCAAAGTCACACACAACTGGTTGTCCAGCTTAAATGTAAAAGGTAAAGGTTCCCTTGCTCGAAAGCCAGTCGAATCCAACTCTAGGGTTGCGGTGCTCATCTCCGTTTCAAAGCCGAAGAGCCAGTGCTGTCCGAAGACATTTCTTTGGTCATGTGGCCGGCATGGCTAAACATCCCACCGAAGTGGTACCTATTTATCTACTTGCAATTTCTTGCTTTCGAACTGCTAGGTTGGCAGGAGCTGGAACTAGAGACAGGAGCTCACTCCATCATGCGGCACACTCTGGTCTCGAACTGCTTATCTAACGACCTTCCACAGCCTGCAGTTCAGCGTCTTAACCACTTGAGCCACCGCAGCTCCTCCAGCTTAAATGAGGAAGGGTTAAATTATGGACTTGGATTTGGAACGCTGAATGTGTTCTGACTCTTGCCGTCTGTTCCCATGCACATCCTGTCCTTCTCCCTGGTTGATTTATACAGTGTTAGGCCATACATCCTCATAAGAACATAAGAAAAGTCCTGCTGGATCAGACCAGTGGTCCATCTAGGTCAGCTTTCCTGTCTCACACAGTGGCCAACCAGTTCCTCTGGAGGACTGATCACTAGGCATAGAGGCCAAGGCCCTTCCCCCTGATGTTGCCTCCTGGCTCTGGGATTCAGAGGATTAGTGCCTCTGAATGTGGAGGTTCCCCTCAGCCACCATGGCTAGCAGCCACTGATAGACCTATCCTCTATGAATCTTAATTCCTTTTTAAAGCTGTCTGTCTCTGTGGTCATCACCAGTGTCCCCTCTAAGCTCAGTTAGTGTGAGCTAGCTCACAGTTTTTTAGCCTCTGGCTCATGCATTTTTGTCTCGGCTCAGGAAGGGATGGCTCCAGGGCAAACTAATTGATGCAGTAGCCAGATCAGTTGCTCGCAACTTCAATGCCACTAGCTCACAAGGTAGAATTTCTGCTCACAAGACATAGAGGGAGCATTGGTCATCACTGCATCCCCTGGCAGCGAATCCCACATTTAAATCGCTCTCTGTGTAAAGGAGAATTTCCTTTTGTCTGTCCTGAAGCCGCTGCTCATCGGCTTCATTGGATGCCCACGAGCTCTAGTACTGACGGCTTGCCTGTAAAGATGGATTGTGAACTGTCATTCATTCACCTGTGAACCAGCCATAAAAGGTAAGGGTAAAGATTCCCCTGCTCAAAAGCCAGTCGAATCCGACTCTAGGGTTGCGGTGCTATCCCCATTTCAAAGCCGAAGAGCCAGCGCTGTCCGAAGACATTTCCATGGTCATGTGGCCAGCATGACTAGATACCGAGGCGCACGGAACGCTGTTACCTTCCCACCGAAGTGGTACCTATTTTATCTAGTTGGAATTTCTTCCTTTCGAACTGCTAGGTTCTGCTAGCATCAGCTAAAAAGACACTCTAACCTACAAAGGAGAGGCCTTACCACTTCACTTAATAGGCTTTTATTAAATCCTAATAAAATCTTAATAAAACAGAGAAATATAAGTATATGAATAATCACAATTAAAACATTCAATATGTATTCCCATCCATACTACAAAGGCTGGCAGGCACTCCTCTTCCTCTTCCTTCTTCTTCTTCTCTGAAAAGATAGGCTAGGCTGAATGCTGGGGGATTCAGTCCTGCCAAGGCGTGTTCCCCACCCTGCTTTGCCCCTTTCCCGTTACAGCAGTGGACACAAGCAATTTCCTGCTTCCCAGGCCCTGAATTCCCATCAGCCTGGTCAGTTTCACTATCGTCAAACCCATGAGTTCCAGGCTGAGTGGAAGAGGCATCTGCCGTCCCCTGAGCTGGGCAGTATTGTATGATATTGCAGGAGGAGAGAAGTTCTTAATAGTTTATCCTCCACCGCATTGATGCTTTGTGGGCTCCCAACTTTGCATACCCCTTTCCAGGGTAGGGCTTGCCACTCCAGGAGCCTCTCAGGCAACCGTAGCCAAACTTCGTTAGGTAACTCTCAACTCGAGCTGGTCGCAGCCGAAGAGGGTCCGGCTTCTAGACCCCAGCTTACGCATACATGCCTAGGAGAACATGGAGGGATGCTGCTGGTTTTCAGAGTTGCATGTCGTTGGGATGCTGTCAGACTTCCCACAGCATCAACGAAGTACACACTTGTAGAAAGGTTTTACTTTATTTGAAGCTGTAGGTGCATAGACAGGATCACTGTTCAGAATGAGGGGGGTGCAAAGAGCATGGCATGTTATAGTACATTCAAACCACTGAGACCCAATTACGGGAGTTCCCCCGCGCGCCATCGGGCCTGGGAGCAAACGCTTCTAGGCAGCACATGTTATCTCTTTCTCACGGTGTTCCGTGAGAGCCTCCAAGCAACTAACAAGCAGCAGCAGCCACCTGTGGCCTTGAGAGATATAGATGTTTCGGCAGCTAAGCAATTAAGCACATCAACAGGTCTACATACGAAAGTGAAAGCAATCAAGCGCACACAGAAAGAATAAAACAAAACATTGGCAGCTTGCTGACACATGCCTGACCTAGGTCGCCCATGCCATCCTAATCGTGTCAGATCTTGGAAGCGAAGCCTTGGTTAGTACTTGGATTGGGAGACCACCGAAGAAGTCCAGCATCGCAGTAGGAAACCACCTCTGTTTGTGTCTTGCCTTGAAAACCCTGTGGGTCTCGGAAGCTAAGCCGGAGGTCGGCACTGGTTAGTATTTGAACGGGAGGCCACCAAGGATGTCCAGGGTTGCTACTCAAAGGCAGGCGGTGGCAAAACCACTTCCGAATGCTTCTTGCCTTGAAAAACCTACGGGATCGTCGTAAGCAGGGCTCTTTTTGTAGAAAAAACCCAGCAGGAACTCATTAGCATAATAGGCCACACCCAACACCAGAACTCATTAGCATATTAGGCCACACCCCCATGTTACCAGAAGTGTGCTCATCCAGCCACACCCACCTTTTGCTTGTTATTCTGTTTACCTTGTTTGTTGTCAAAACCCAGGGCCTTTTTTTGTAGCAGGAACTCCTTTGCATTTTAGGCCACACACCCCTAATGTAGCCAATCATAATGAGTTTCTGCTGTTGGGTGTGGCCTATTATGCTAATGAGTTCCTGCTGGGCGTGGCCAACTCGGGGGCCAGCCGGAACTTCGTTCCTGTGCGTTCCTGCCCAAAAATAGCCCTGGTCGTAAGTCAGCCACGACTCGGTGGCAAAATATATATTGTTTGAATAAGACAAAGAGATGGGTGCGCTTCCCAATCTGGATATACAGGAGTGAAAAAGGAAAGAGAGACTAGATAATCAGGGGAGAGTGGTGAGGCAGGGAGTGCATGAAGAAGAAGAGGAGGAGGAGGAGATTGGATTTATACCCCGCCCTTCACTTGGAGTCTCAGAGCGGCTTACAAACTCCTTTCCCTTCCCCTCCCCACAACAAACACCCTGTGAGGTGGGTGGGGCTGAGAGAACTCTGACACAAACTGCTCTTTTTCAAGGACAGCTGTGCCAGAGCTTGTGACTGACCCAAGGTCACATCAGCAGGTGCAAGTGGAGGAGTGGGGAATCAAACCCGGTTCTCCCAGATTAGATTCGCGCACTTAACCACTACACCAAACTGGCTCTCTTGGATTGGATTTATACCCCGCCCTTCCCTACCCGAGGGAGTCTCAGAGCGGCTTACAAACTCCTTTCCCTTCCCCTCCCCACAACCCTGTGAGGTAGGCGGGGCTGAGAGACCTCTGAGAGAAACTGCTCTTTTTCAAGGACAGCTCTTATCAGACCTATGGCTTGCCCAAGGTCATCCAGCAGGTGCAAGTGTAGGAGTGGAGAATCAAACCCGGTTCTCCCAGACTAGAGTCCGCGCACTTAAACCTTACACCAAACTGGCTTGTTTCTGTGTCCCCCCCCCCAAAACCATCCTCAGGAAACCTCTCCCCTCCCTATGAGCTGTGTGCTCTGCGTCGCCTCCTCCACCCACCCAGTTTCCAGCCTCTGAGCTGGGAGGGGCTTCTCTTTTGCACCCCAGGGCTCGGGGAGCATAACCTGCCAAGCCCTTCTGCACTCCTTCCGGTTCGTTAGGTCAAACTTCTGATTCAGCAGATTTATTGTACAAATCTGAGAAGCAGCAAAAAACCTGATTTATCTATCTTTTTTTTTTTAAGGTACAAATTATTACATGTCCTGGAGTTTGACCCCTGTCGCAGAAGAATGAGCGTCATTGTAGAGAGTCCATCAGGTAAGACAAAAAGTTATTGGGGCTGTTTTTTAGTCTTGTCCCCAAAGGGATACTGAAGCAGCTTAGTTTAATGCACCCCCCCTCTCACTGAGAGAAAGAGAACTGTAATGAAGTATAGGTCTTAATTTCCCCCTCCCTTATAACTGTTTCTTCACAGGTAACAAGCTGTTATTCACCAAGGGGGCAGAATCCGCTATTCTTCCTTACAGTACAAGAGGAGAAATAGAGAAAACAAGAGTTCACGTAGATGAATTTGCTTTGGTACGTGGCTATTACTGCTTTTAAAGCTGAGAACCAACATTGAGGGGAAGTGTCAGTGTGTCGAATGTGGGGTTAAGGGCTTATTCATATGTGCCATGGTCCCCTTGCAAGCTCCTCTGGAAGCATATAGATTTCCTGCTGGCTGGAGTTTTGTAGGTGAGGCGGTCGACCTATATGCGTGCCTTCTCTGTGAACTGCATCTTCTGGGTACCTGGAGTTCCCTCGGCCCTCCCAACTTCCCTGACGGCCAGCAGCTTGCGGCAATGCCATCCTTTCAGAGTGGCAGCCCAAGCTTTGAGCTGACTTCGTGTGTAATGAGAACCTAACTTGACGCATTATTCCGCAAAATAAACTTGTTATGGCTTCAAATGTCACAGTACAAAGAGAGCAACGTAATTGCGTGATTCTCTTACTCTGACTGACCTCCCGAGATTTTATTCTCCTGCTTTTCTCTTCAAGTGAATAATAATAATAATAATAAATGCAAATAATAAAAGCTTGGGGCGGCATACAGGGCTCGGCCCGCCTCTGCCTTGTCCTCACAACAACCCTGTGAGGCTGAGAGAATACCTTAAGCACATTATGCGTTTCATAGGATAGACGCCGTGCAGGGTTTTTTTTTAATCTGGCCATCCCGTGTTTAGGGTGTCTTGAAACCAATGATGTTACCACACCACTGCTTAGACATTGCAGTTAAAACAGCACAATAGCAGTGTTGGACATTTGTGAATGTCAGTGTTCTTTGAGGTGTTCAGGTAACTGACTGAGAGCCAGTTTGGTGTAGTGGTTAAGTGCATGGCCCCTAATCTGGGAGAACCGGGTTTGATTCCCCACGCCTCCACTTGCACCTGGCTGGATGACCTTGGGCAAGCCGTGGTTCTGATAAGAGCTGTTCTTGAAAAAGAGCACTTTCTGTCAAGAGCTCTCTCAGCCCCACCTACCTCACAGGGTGTCTGTTGTGGGGAGGGGAAGGGAAAGGAGTTTGTAAGCCGCTCTGAGACACCTTTGGGTAGTGAAGGGCGGGGTATAAATCCAATCTCTTCTTCTTCTTCTTCTTCTCCTCCTCCTCCTCCTCCTCCTCCTCCTCCTCCTCCTCTCAGATTATGGGATTTCAGCATTTTTGGATGTGAATAATAGTACAGAATCATAGAGTCATAGAGTTGGAAGGGACCTCCAGGGTCATCTAGTCCAACCCCCTACACAAGGCAGGAAATTCACAAATACCTCCCCCCCCACACACACACACTCCCACTGACCCCTGTTCCACGCCCAGAAGATGACAAAAAAACCCTCCAGGATCCCTGGCCAAACTAACCTCGAGAAAAATTGCTTCCTGACCCCAGAGTGGTAATCAGCATTTCCCTGGGCGTGTAAGAAAGGAGCATAAGAACTAAGTACTGAGGCAACCCTTCCTGCCTTCCCTCTCATAATCTAAGTTCACACAATCGACATTGCTGTCAGAGGTGCCCGTATACCTGCCAGAGATTTTTATGGTGTCTGTTCTAATAACTGGTGTTACTGTGACCATTTGCAGTCTTGTAGACAGAGCGAAAATGTGGCCACTGTGGGGCATGTGTACTTATTTATTTAGAATATGTCTGCATTGCCTCTGTAGAGTCCTGTTCAAGGTGGCTCACGGTTAGTCAGAGTAGGAACTGTGAGACCCAGATTCGAATCCCCACCCTGTCACAGAACTTGTGTTATAATTGTCAGAGGTGCTTGGAGGTTGCGAGATTTCCCCACCCTTATCACAGGCCCCCTCTTTTCTGTTACCTGCGCCGCTCTTTTTCCCTGCGTGTCCCAAGCTAGTCGTCTTTTCCCCACATGTCAAGTGCGCAGAAGGGATCAAAAGCAGGAGGACCTGGGCAAAAGTCTGGCCCCGAGGTCTTCCTATGTTGTCAGCATAATTCATCCGTGCACATTACTAAGGACACAGGACTGGCAGCAGTAGCGGCAGGCCTAGGCAGCAGGGTCCCCAGCTTTTTCAAACCAGTGGGCACCTTTTGAAACCTGACAAAGGCTGGTGGGTTGTTGTCGGGGGCAGAGCCTGTCACAGAATGCCAGGAAGTGGGGTTATGCAGAAGTCTGAAGCTCTTCAGCATTTCAGGCAGAAACTCTGTTTAACAGGATGAATGCCTTTAAAATATTTTCTTGCATACGCACAGATATAGGTATCGAGCTAAGAAACGCTCATCTGTCAGATCTCCATTGGCCAATCAGAAGTTCTTTTGGCTCCACCCACTTTCTAAAAACATTTGGCAGGCACCATGAGAGATCTCAGTGGGTGCCCGGGCGCCCACGGGCACCATGTTGGGGACTCCTGCTCTACAAGGAGTCCCTACACCCTACCCTCCAGTTTAGCTTATATCCTGTGTTGTGAAACCATTGCACTGTGTTTGGCCTGATCCTCGTAGACGGTGACTGCTGCAGAGGGCTAAATGGAGTTTCCTTTCTTTCTTTTTTTTTAATTGCTTGCTCAGGTTTGCATTGGAACCTTTAATGTTTATACGTCAACGCAATCTGTCGCTAATTGAAATTTGATTAGAACCATACCAAAGCACTCCAGAGATCATTGCAAGCAGTTCTTGAAAGAAGTGTAAGGTACCAACCTTCCTTCTGTACCGAAACAGTCCTGGATTCTCTGGGACTGCCAGGTACAGAGGGAATTCACCTAGAATTCCCAGCAGGACAGTTTTTGGCAGGAGTTCATTCGTCCCCCGCTTAAGATGGCGACCTTGTCTTCCTGACCTTGTCTTCCTGACAAGATTCTTGCAAGACTGTTGTTTTTAATTAGGTGGCGAGAGATTTACGCAGCACCATATAATTCTCTTCCCAATCTGATTGCTATTTAAGGCTGTATGATCTCTCGTCCCCTCTGGGGCATCAAACTAGGAACTCTGTTTCCTGTGCACAGGCCGCATCCAGCACCTCTGTGATTCAGCTGCGGCTGAAATAAGTCTGGAAAGAGGGTGAGGTTTGCCTGGGCTGGCCCTGCTCTCCTCTCAGGGAGCAGCTGTGGCTCAAAGGTGTGGAGCATTTGCTTGGCGTGTGAAAGGTTCAGTCCCCGGCATCTCCAGCTGAAGGGACCAGGCAGGCTGTTATGTGAAAGACCTCAGCCTGAGACCCTGGAGAGCTGTAAAGAGGGGCCGTGGCTCAGTGTAAGAGCCTCTGCCTGGCATGCAGAAGGTCCCAGGTTCAGTCCCCGGCATCTCCAGTTAAAAGGACCAGACAGGAGATGATGGGAAAGACCTCCGCCTGAGACCATGGAGAGCTGTAAAGAGGGGCTGTGGCTCAGTGGAGGAGCCCCTGCCTGGCATGCAGAAGGTCCCAGGTTCAATCCCTGGCATCTCCAGTTGAAAGGACCAGGCAGGAGGTGATGTGAAGGACCTCAGCCTGAGACCCTGGAGAGCAGCTGTCCGTCTCGAACAGACAATACTCACTTTGGTGGACTGATGGTCTGGTTCGGTATAAGGCAGCTTCCCGTGTCCTCTCTGTTCTCCCCAAGTGTGCAGCGAAATAATTGGTTGCTTCGTTTTTGTGACAAACCACAGTATGTTGTCGAAGGCTTTCACGGCCAGAGTTCGTTAGCTGTTGTAGATTTTCCGGGTTGTATGGCCGTGGCCTTGGCATTGTAGGACCTGACGTTTTGCCAGTAGCTACTGGCGAAACGTCAGGTCCTACAATGCCAAGACCGCGGCCATACAACCCGGAAAACCTACAGCCGCTAAACCATAGTTCGTTGTTGCATACACGGACTGGCCAACCGCGGTTTTGGATTTTGTGCAAGACAGGATTTGGAACCAAGGGGGGGGAAAACCCCACTGTTGAAAATCCTGCTTGGTCAGGAAAACGCAAGCCCTTGTTTTCCTCCCGCCCCCAAACTGGAACAACTTAACAGCAAACCAGAGTGGATATAAGCTGTCTCGCTGCACGGAGAGGGAGAGGGGAAGCCGAGTCCCCACCCGGAAGTGTCCTTGGCTTGTTCATGACTTGACACTTCATCCGAGCCAGGTCAGTTTTGCCTGGCATTCAGTATGTGTTCCCTTCCCGCCCACTACTCAAGGTGGAACTGAGGGTACAGGAAGGTGACTGGGTTGCCAGCCTCCAGGTGGCAGCTGGAGATCTCCTGCCGTTGCAGCAGATCTCCACGCAACAGAGCTCAGTTCACCTGGAGAAAATGGCCGCTTTGGAAGGTGGGCTCTGTGGCATTGTACCCCACTAGAAGTCCCCTCCCCAAACCCCCACCCTCTTCAGGCTCCGCCCACCCCGCAGACTTCCACGTAGTGCCCAACCTGGATCTAGCAGCGCTAGTGACTGAATTTGGATTGTACCGAAGAAGTTATATTAGTATTTATTCATTAAAACATATCCCACCTTTCCTCGTGACTCAAGGGGGCTTTGCTGTTGTTCAGTCGCACAGTCGAGCCCGACTCTTCGCGACCCCATGGACCAGATCAGGCCTTCCTATCTTCCGCCGTCCTCTGAAGTTGGCTCAATTTCATGTTTGTTGCATCTATGACACTGTCTAACCATCTCATCCTTTGCCGTCCCGGTCTTCTTTGACCTTCAGTCTTTCCCAGCATCAGGGTCTTCTCCAGTGAGTGCTCCCTTCTCATTTGGTGGCCAAAGTATTTGAGCTTCAGTTTCATTATCTGGCCTTCCAGGGAACAGTCAGGGTTGATTTCTTTTAGGATTGACTGATTTGATCTCCTTGCAGTCCAAGGGACTCTCAAGAGTCTTCCCCAGCACCATAGTTCAAAAGAATCTATTCTTCGGCGCTCGGCCTTCCTTAGAGTCCAACTCTCACAGCCATACATGACATACATGGCAAGGGGGCTGCAGTGATGCTAAAGACATTTTCAGAACCAAAAGCAAGCCCCAAATCTCCCCCATCCCCGGCGAAAGATGCTCTTGCCATTCAAATGCCCCCAGAAGCCTTTGTCAAACAAACAAGCCTTTCAGTGCCTTCTGAAGACCTCCAGGGGAGGCTCCCCTCCCCTCTTCAGGGAGGCCCATTCCACAGATCTGGGACGATGGAAAAGCCCGGGCTCTGGTCGATGCCCAGTGGGCCACCCAAAGTTAGGGTAGCCAGCAGACGGCCGCTTAATGACCGTAGTTGGTGCACAGAGACGCGTGGAAGCCGGCAGTCCTTCAGATATGTCTCGGCTGTCTTCTTTTAGCTCTGCGCTGGCCCCCTTTCAGCGAACTCAGTTTCTTGCCCGCTTTCTTCTCCTCCCAAACGGTTGTCCTCTTTTTGGTTCCCTTCACAGAAAGGGTTAAGGACTCTGTGTGTGGCCTACAGAAAATTCACGGCCCAGGAGTACAAGGAGGTAGCCCAGTGCCTTTACAAGGCAAAAACGGCCTTGCAGCAGCGGGAAGAACGGCTGGCAGAAGCGTTTAACTTTATAGAGAGAGACCTGGAGTTGCTGGGAGCCACGGGCGTCGAAGACAAGTAGGTGCTGTTTATACTAGATGATTCCTTTTGCTGCCCGAGAGGTGCTTGTTCACACAGAGCAATCCAGAGGGAAAATCCCCAGATGTTGGGGTTTTTTTTACTAACGGCAGGCCGCCGACTCCCTTCCTGAGGAGGAGGGAGCTGGTGTGTCCCTCTCTCTCCACCACACACCTTGAGTATGTTGCCCTGTGACGCTTCTCCCTTTGAAACCGGTGGAGAAGCACAAATGGGGCTTCTGCAGTTTGGCTGTGTGTCCGGAACCTGGGGGAGAGAATAGCAGAAAGGGAAGGAATAGCATTGAGACAGGGCAGTGGCTCAGTGGCAGAGCTCCTGCTTCCCTCGCTGAGCATCCCAGGTTGGATCTCCAGCCTGTCTTGGAAATGTCTACAGGAATTAAAAAATAAAAAGCAAATGTTATGCTGGGTATTATTAGGAAGGGGACTGAAAACAAATCAGCCAGTATCATCATGCCCCTGTATAAATTGATGGTTCGGCCTCATTTGGAGGACTGTGTACAGTTCTGGTCACCGTACCTCAAAAAAGACATTATAGCATTGGGAAAAGTGCAGAAAAGGGCAACTAGAATTATTAAGGGGATGGGACGCTTCCCCTGTGAATAATGGTTAAAGAGGTTTGGGACTCTTTAGCTTGGAGAAATGACGACCGCAGGGTGACATGGTCAAGGTTTACAAAATTATGCATGGGAGATAGAAGGCAGAGAACAAAGTACTTTCCTCCCTTTCTCGCAATACAAGCACTCGCGGGCACTCAGTGAAATTGATGAGCCGTAGGCTTTAGAACAGATAAAAGGAAGTCCTTCTTCGACCAAAGAGTAATTAACACAGGGAATTCACCGCCGCAGGAAGTGGCGGCTACAAGCATTCAGCTTCAAGCAGGGATTGGATAAACATCTGGAGCAGAGGTCCATGAGTGGCTATTATCCACAAGGTATAGATGGAACACTATGCCTGGGGCAGTGATGCTCTGTATTTTCGGTGCTTGGGGGGCAACAGTGGGAGGGCTTCTGGAGTTCTTCTGGCCCCACTGATGGACGTGGTTTGTTTTTTGAAGGAGGGCACTGTGTGACTGGATGGGGCCTTATCCAGCATGGCTTCTCTTATGTTTTAGGAAGGGAGCTGTGCATGTACAAAGTCGGCTTAACCTTGGTGCTCTGCATCAAAATGTGTGGCGGGGGGGGGCTGGGGAATGGGTGCTGTGGGGCCGGGCCCGCCAGGGCTCGGCCCAGTGACAGCCAGCCTGACCCTGCCCTAGATAAATGACCGGGCAGACTCCTCCATGGGGATATGTCCTATGCAGTAGCAGGTGTGAGCATTCTGCCAGTGTTTTGATGGTCATGTATGATACTGCACACAGTCTTTTTACACCAACAAAAATTGAGGAAGAATGTCTTTCCTTTTTGAAATGGATCTGAATACAGAGGTTTGGATGCAGAACCCCCTGTGATGCACATGTAAAAGTGAACGTGCTGAAGAAGTGGGATTTTTTTTTCTGTAAAAGAATCAGATTTTACTTAAAAATTGCAAAGTTCGAACAGAAAAGAAAAAAACCATAAGCACATTTTTACAACAGCGGTAGCAAATCTACACAGAATAGAAGACTTTTAACAGCAGAGCACAGGGGGTCCATTTTCATTGACCAGCAGTTAGTCTCCAGGAGACCGGCAAATGGTTTAGAAGTACATAAGCATCCTTAAAGATTAATGGATGTTTTAGTAGATGTGAGTAAGGACCTGGATGGCCCAGGCTGGCCTGATCTGGTCAGACCTCGGGAGCTAAGCAGGGTTGGCCCTGGTGAGTCCCTGGATGGGAGGACCGGCAAGGGAGTCCAGGGTCACTACGCAGAGGCAGGCAATGGCGAACCACCTCTGAACGCCTCTTGCCTTGAAAACCCAATGGGGTCGCCACTAGTTGGCTGCGACTTGGCCGCACTTTACACCCGCGCACAATGAATGTTGACCATCGCCTCTTCACCAGGCGCTCAAACGATCTAGTAACGCCTGGTGAAAAGGTTTGGCTGCGGTACCGAGAGAGAGCAAAACCTGTAAAGGTTTACCTGTAAAGGATGACCTGTGACGTTGTCTGTTGACGGCTGGCTTACCTGCAGGCTCCAAGACAAAGTGCAAGAAACCATCGAAGCCCTGCGGCTGGCGGGCATCAACGTGTGGGTGCTCACCGGTGACAAGCACGAGACGGCGGTCAGCGTCAGCTTATCCTGCGGGCACTTCCACCGGACCATGAACATCCTGGAGCTCGTCCAGCACAAGTCCGACAGCACCTGCGCAGAGCAGCTGAGGCAGCTAGCCAGGAGGTAGCGTGGGGCGCGTGCCAGACTCCCATCTGTTCTCAGTTTAAAGAAAACCTTTACTTTCCTGCCGTATCTGTTGCTTAGCCAGGAGAGGCGATGGAATGTCCGTGGTCTGAGGTTCTGTTTGACGGCCAGTGTGGCGTAGTGGTTAGGGCGTCGGATTAGGATCTTGGAGACCCAGGTTCAAATCCTCCCTCTGCCATGGGAGCTGGCTGGGGCTCTTTTTGTAGCAGGAACTCCTTTGCGTATTAAGCCACACCCCCTAATGCAGCCAATCCTCCAAGAGCTTACAGAGCTCTTCTTACAGGCGCTACTGTAAGCTCTTGGAGGATTGGCTACATTAGGGGTGTGTCGCTTAATATGCAAATGAGTACCTGCTACCAAAAGAGCCCTGCACGCTCAGCCTGACCCTCCTCTCGGGGTCTTTGTGAGGATAAAATGGAGGAGAGGAGAATGATATAGGCTGGCATAAGTGAATATTGGCCTGCTCTTTGTTCTAAGAAGAGAAGAGAAGAGATTGGATTTATAGCCCGCCCTTCACTACCCAAAGGTGTCTCAGAGTGGCTTACAAACTCCTTTCCCTTCCCCTCCCCACAACAGACACCCTGTGAGGTAGGCGGGGCTGAGAGAGCTCTTGACAGAAACTGCTCTTTTTCAAGGACAGCTCTTATCAGAGCTGCGGCTTGCCCAAGGTCATCCAGCCAGGTGCAAGTGGAGGAGTGGGGAATCAAACCCGGTTCTCCCAGATTAGAGTCTGCGCACTTAACCACTACACCAAACTGGCATTCTGTGCTCTTTCCAGAACTGTAGTTCATGACTAACAGTAACCCCTCTGGATAGCCGAGGCCAGCCCGATCTCGTCAGATTTCGGAAACTAAGCCTTGGCTAGTATTTGGAAGGGAAACCTCCAAGGAATACCAGGGTCGCGACACAGAGGCAGGCAATGGCAAACCACCTCTGAAACATTTTTTGCCTGAGAAAGAAGTCTAATAAAGGACAATTATCCAAAAGTGGGTGGTAACAACCTCAGACCCACAATAAGTCACAGCATATCTCAGAAGCAGCATACTTCCTTCATAAATAGAACAAGCACACAGAGGAAAAAAATCTTGTTTATATAAATATCACATGTCCTTGAGGTCCAAACATCTATAGACTGTGGCTTGTAATAAATAAAGTCCATTCCAAGCAGAAACAACGCAGTTCTGGATAATATAATCAGCGTTTCAGATCTATTCCTTTATCAGGCAAATCAGGTAAGTCTTCATTAACATACAGTGAATACACATGTATAAGCGAGGTCCCAATCGAAATATTCCCATTAGGCACCGCTCCATATCTCTTACAAGAGAGGTGATTCTACAATAATATATATATGAGTTTGGCATTATTATTGACTTTGCTTTCCATATAATTATTGTTGCATGTACTTAGCGTGCTTCGACTACAGATTTGCTTGTGATTTCTTTGCTCTTTTTCCCCCTGTAGCCTCCCTCCTTTCTACTAGTGGAAAACAAGTCTAGCTTGCCACCTAGTGGCTGCATACCACTAAAAGAGCTGGAACTTTTGACTGCCAGACGGTCTTAGGATCTCCTGGCTATACTATACATGATGCCATACGATGAAGGCCAATGCTATGCTGGGGATTATTAGGAAGGGTATTGAAAACAGATCAGCCAATATCATAATGCCCCTATATAAATCAATGGTGAGACCTCATTTGGAATACTGTGTGCAGTTCTGGTCACCACACCTTAAAAAGGATATTATCGCTTTGGAAAAAGTGCAGAAAAGGGCAACTCGAATGATAAAAGGGTTGGAACACTTTCCCTATGAGGAAAGGTTAAGGCGCTTAGGGCTCTTTAGCTTGGAGAAACGACGACTGAGGGGTGACATGATTGAGGTTTATAAGATTATGCATGGGAAAGAGCAGGTAGAGAAAGAGGTACTTTTCTCCCTTTCTCACAATACAAGAACTCGTGGGCACTCCATGAAATTGCTGAGCGGTCGGGTTAGAACGGATAAGAGGAAGTACTTCTTCACCCAAAGAGTGATTAACACTTGGAATTCACTGCCACAGGAAGTGGTGGCGGCTACAAGCATGGACGGCTTCAAAAGGGAATTAGATAAGCATATGGAGCAGAGGTCCATCAGTGGCTATTAGCCACAAGGTATAGATAGGGACTCTGGGGCAAGTGATGCTCTGTCTTCTTGGTGCTTGGGGGGGGGGTCAACAGTGGGAGGGCTTTAATGTCCTGGCCCCACTGGTGGACCTCCTGATGGCACTGGTATTTCTGGCCACTGTGGGATACAGAGTGTTGGACTGGATGGGCCTTTGGCCTGATCCAACATTGGCATCTCTTATGTTCTTCTGTTCTTATGATTTTTTAAAACAATAACTCCCCTTCCCTCGCTAGGATAAAGGACGACCATGTAATCCAGCACGGGCTGGTAGTGGACGGGACCAGCCTGTCCCTGGCCCTCAGGCAGCACGAGAAGCTCTTCATGGAGGTCTGTCGAAATTGCTCTGCGGTGCTGTGTTGCCGCATGGCGCCTCTGCAGAAGGCAAAGGTAATTCGCTTGAAGGTTCGCTCAAGTGGTGTCAGAGGAGGGTTCTGCTGCTAGAATCCCCCATTTTTAAATTTTTCTGCTTTTAGGGCGTGCTTCTTGCATGCCTCCAGCATGTTCCATAGTATGTGCCCTGGACTTAACTGGATATTAGGTCTCTGGGGCCTCATCCAGAGCAAATAGAGCGTATGCGCCCCATGCGATCCTAATTAGTATTAACGATTGTGTCGCTCGAAAGACGAAGCTGCCAGGGTTGGTGCGGGCTTAGCACGAGTCAATTCCATAGGGGCACAGTATCAAGGTTTACTTATGGAAGTGAAGAAATAAATGCAAAAGACATGCTGGGTACCTTTCCAGTGGCTGAGACGGAACGAGACTACTGGACCTGGGTGCTGTTCACCCGACGGAGAATTTTCTGTCCATTTCTTGTAAGAGTTCTCAGGGACAAATAGGTCTAACTCAAGCATCTCGGAATTCCAAAAAAGGCATGGCTACACAGTTGTCAAAACTTTAAAGCAGGAGGCTCTTTCGTAACCGGGTTTTAGGGAGTGGGGTTTAGTGGTCGGCCATCTTCCTTGCATGCAGGACGTCCCAGGTCCAGGCCTTGGCATCTCCAATCAAAAGGATCAGGTAGGAGGTGATGTGAAAGATCTTTCCCACATGAGTAGCATAGGAGTGAGTAGTTCCTGTGCTGGTCCCATTTTTTTTAAAAAGTGTTTTTCTTTTGCAGATTGTGCGACTGATAAAAACGTCTCCGGAGAAGCCGATCACGTTAGCCATTGGTGATGGGGCTAATGACGTTAGCATGATCCAGGAAGCCCACGTTGGCATAGGTGAGGGACTTTCTGGGCTGCTTCTTTGGGTTTGCATTGATATTGTACAGCCAGCGTTGGGGATCAGGTAGGAGGTGATGTGAAAGATCTTGAGTAGTATAGGAGTGAGTAGTTCCTGTGCTGGTCCAGTTTTTTTTAAAAAAGTGTTTTTCTTTTACAGATTGTGCGACTGATAAAAACATCTCCGGAGAAGCCGATCACATTAGCCATTGGTGATGGGGCTAATGACGTTAGCATGATCCAGGAAGCCCATGTTGGCATAGGTGAGGGACTTTCTGGGCTGCTTCTTTGGGTTTGCATTGATATTGTACAGCCAGCGTTGGGGATCTGGTGCTTCTATGAAAGGCTTGGGCTGAAACTCCAGGTGCGGTATGCAACAGCATCCCTCTGTTAAAAGTCAGTAGAAGAGCACTGGGAAACATCCATGTGCATACAAAGCCAGTTTGGTGTAGTGGTTAGGAGCACGGACTCTAATCTGGGAGATCCGGGTTTGATTCCCCACTCCTCCCCATGCATCTGCTGGTGTGGCCTTGGGCCAGTTACAAGATCTTTCAGAGTTGTTCTCTCAGGAGCAGTCCTCGAAAGAGCTCTCTCAGCCCCACCTGCCTCACAGGGGAGGGGAAGGGAAAGGAGTTTGTAAGCCGCTCCGAGACTCCTTCGGGTTAGTGAAGGGCGGGTATAATCCAATCTCCTCTTCCTCCTCTTCTTCTTCTTCCCAAAGAGACTAGGGGGCCTTATGTGGGATTCTGGACTGGATGTTGTTGGCTCGTTGGGGAGGGGCTGTGGCTCAGTGGCAGAGCATCTGCTTTGCATGCAAAAGGTCCCAGATTCAATCCCCGGCATCTCCAGTTAAAAGGACCAGGTAGGAGGTGTTGGGAAAGACCTCCACCTGAGACCCTGGAGAGCCTCTTTCTATTTAAGTAGACTATACTGACTTTGATGGACCAAGGGTAGGATTCAGTATCCGGTGATTTCATGTGTGTTTGGGGAGTGGCCATGGCTCAGTGGTGGAGCACCTGCTTGGCATGCAGAAGGTCCCCAGTTCAATCCCCGGCCTCTCCAGTTAAAGAATCTGGCAGTAGGTGATGTGAAAGGACCTCGGCCTGAGACCCTGGAGAGCTGCTGCCAGTCTGAGTAGACAAGGCTGATCTTAAAGGGCCAGTGGTCTTGATTCAGTAGAAGGCAGCCGCACGAGCTTTGATGAGATTCCAGACACACGTCAGCCCTCTTGAAGGCACGATGGACGGAAGCCTCTGTAGTATCATGCATAAGCTTTTGTGAAATCGGCTGCAGAACTCGTTCCAAAGACAAATTACGTCTCCTGTACGATCGTGTCCATGAAAGTAACCCACAACGGTTGCTTTGGCCTACTTAATAATCATTTGTGATCTTAAGTGGGGTTGTTTTCCCCCCATCTTTTATCTTAAGTGGGTTTTTTAAGCCAGCTTGCAGAGCTCCCCTTCCTCGTCCCTTCTGGTTGACCAGGCAAGTGTCTATTTGGAAACCTTCATGACATAATTGTGTGTCTAAAGTGCTGTTCAGTCACACCTGACGTACGGTAACCCCTCATGGGGTTTTCAAGTCAAGAGACTAACAGAGGATCTGCATAGCAATCGTGGACCTCCCTGGTGGTCTCCCATCGAAGTACTAACCAGGATTAGCTTCCGAGATCTTTCGAGATCAGGCTAGCCTGAGCCATCCAGGTCCACGGCCCCATTACTTGATGCCATTACATAAATTTATTATCTATATCGTGTGAGCTACCCTCAGGGAGAAAGACGGGCTATAAATTAAATTCTAGACTGAGCTCATCTTTCATTTCCCAGGAACGAATGACTAATAACATAATACACTGGTCCTTTGAGTTCATGAGCCGAAACTTCTAAGTCAGTTTGGTGTCATGGTTGAGTGCGTGGACTCTAATCTGGGAGAACCGGGTTTGATTCCCCACTCCTCCACTTGCACCTGGCTGGATGGCCTGGGGCAAGTTGTAGTTCTGATAAGAGCTGTTCTTGAGAAAGAGCAGTTTCTGGAAAGAGCTCCCTCAGCCCCACCCACCTCACAGGGTGTCTGTTGTGGGGAGGGGAAGGGAAAGGAGTTTGTAAGCCGCTCTGAGACTCCTTTGGGTAGTGAAGGGCAGATATAAATCCAATCTCCTCCTCCTCCTCCTCTTCTGATACTTTTGAATCGAGAGTCAGTTTGGTGTAGTGGTTAAGTGCGCGGACTCTAGCCTGGGAGAACCGGGTTTGATTCCCCACTCCTCCAGTTGCACCTGCTGATGTGACCTTGGGCAAGCCATAGTTCTGTCAGAGCTGTCCTTGACAAGGCAGTTCTCTCAGAGCTCTCTCAGCCCCACCTACCTCACAGGGTTTCTGTTGTGGGGAGGGGAAGGGAAAGGAGTTTGTAAGCTGCTCTGAGACTCTGAGTGAAGGACGTGGGTATAAATCCAACGTCGTCATCTTCTGAATTCCCTGCTAGTGATCATGTGCTTGGATTTAATTTGACCTCGAATTACCGCTTCTCTGCTTATCGTTCATGAGCTGTATCCCGTTGAAGTATACTCCTTTAATATATACATATCTGTCTGTTATCTCCCCTGTATTCCAGGTATCATGGGCAAAGAAGGACGGCAAGCTGTGCGAAACAGTGACTATGCAATAGCGAGGTTTAAATTCCTCTCTAAGCTACTTTTTGCCCACGGCCACCTTTATTATATTAGAATAGCAACCCTTGTACAGTACTTTTTTTACAAGGTATGTTTCTACGGATTGTCCTGGGAAAGACCCCTTTTAGCTCAGGGTGTTTCACTTCAAGAGTAAATTCTCGGCGTGAACAGCCGCAGGGCGGGAAGAAGCAGCTGGTCTGGTCTGAATCTTCCAGTCGAACTGTGCCACTCAGGAGCATGCCGGGTGGCTTTGAACGTTGCACCCAGCTCTCCAAGAAGGCATTGGCTATTTGAGTTGCTATTGCATTCAGCTTGGCTTCTAGGGCGGCGTGAGGCATCGGAGAGCCAGTATGGCGTCGTGGTTGGAATGTCGGGCTAGTTATCTGGAAGACCCAGATTCGAATCCCCCCTCTGCCATGGAAGCTCACTGGGCGACCTTGGGCCAGTCACACACTCTCGGCCTAGCCTGTCTCACAGGGTTGCTATATGAGGATAAAAAGGAGGAGAGGAGAATGATGGGAGCTGCTGCAGGTCCCCAGTGAGGAGAAAGGCAGGGTAAAGAAATGAAGTATAAATAGATAAATAGCTTTGAGCCTCCTGATTTCCCAGGAAGACTCAGCGTAGATGTAACTGTTGTACATATTAGATTCCATGTCAAAAAATGAAGTCAAATGAGGAGGAAGATCTATATTTTATTTCAGTTAACAAGAAAACAGTTGGACCAAGTAGTCCATCCAAAATTGACTACTTTCTTCTCAGCATATTTAGGGAATATGCTTCAATTAACAGGAAAATGATTGGACCAAGTAACTAATCAAAAATTGACAACTTTCTTCTTCATCTTCTTCTTCTTGAACATATTCTGAACATATTCAGGAAATACATGATATTTTATTCATGGACTGACATCATCGAGAAAACAATATTCAAAAAGCATAATTGGTTACAAAAGACAGTGGTAATTTGAGTAATAAGCCTCTAATTTGTCAGATGTAAAGAAACCTACATCTACGTCAAACTAAGTGTTTACTTAACCTAACCTAAATGATAATGGGCAAGGACTCTTCATATCCCAAACAAAAGTATTCATTACTGATACAAGACTAAAATCTTATCTGACCCAGACATTGAAAGGTTTGCCCTAAGAACTACAGAATCATGAACTTTGTACCTATTACGTTGTCTGCTAACAATATCAGACCTACAAGAGGAAAGCCTTCTATATAACAGGCCTTTCTAACATCCTAATAAAATATTACTTAAAGAATAAATCTATAAAAACCAGAGAAATATGAATAATCAAAAAAGGGGGAAATCTTTATAGTCCCATCTCTACTACACAACTGCTTGTATTTTCCCTCTCTGGCTGTTAGGGGGTGTGCTGCGAGTTCTCACACCCTCGTTCTGCTCTGGGATGAGTATTTCCCTTTCCCCTTTCCTGTAAACCATGGCTTACTGGCGCAAACCAGGGTTCTACATGAACCATGCTTTGGGTACCCATTTGAAACTCTCATTCCATTCTCTAGCTTCCCTTGTTGGTTTAAGTTAATTTCAGACCCCAGCCATATTGGTCTGCAGTAGAACTCCTAGGTTCGAGTCCAGGAGCACCTTAGAGATAGGGTTGCCAAGTGTATCTTCACCGGGAGCAGGGGGCTCCCAGCCGGCGTCTTGTGCGCGTGCCACACGCACATCACCCGGAAGTGACGGGAGGACGTCAGGCACGCTGGGGGCAGGGCCACGCGTCCTCCCGTCACTTCCGGGTTACGCGCACGTCGGGGTGGAGATCCCCCCGGGGCCCGATCTGGCGCCGCCGGGGAACGGGGCTCTGGGACGGGGGTTTCCCCGCCCCCCGGGGGGACTTGGGATCCCTACTTAGAGACCAACCAGATTGGGGTGGTGGTGGTGGTTTGTAACCTTTTTCGAGAGTCAGGTATCTGAAAATAAAGGGAGCTTTGATTCTTGAAAGCTTATACCCTAAAATTCTTTTCTCCACAGGCAATAGACTGTTCAGTGTACTAAACGGTTCACAAAGCCACTTAGAAAAATTATTAGGGACTGTAGTCTGTACTACTGTGTCTAGCTTATTGAAATTAGGACCCTACTGTGGGATTTTGCATCATGTAATGTGTCGTGTTAATACTTATACATTGCTTCAGTTCTGTTTTTCAATTTCTGGTTGGTTCTACAGCCCTAATCCTGTTTCACTGTTTATTGAATGTCCCATCCATCGATCTTTATTGACTTGCTCTGGTAATCCTCCTTGAGTCCAAGTGAGAAAGGAGGACTGTAAATAACATAAATAAATAAGGTTCTTCTGGAATCGAATCTCGTTCCTGGTCTAACAGAACTGAGTGGCTGGCTCTTGTGATCAGAAGGGTGATGTGAACAGGAAGGGTAAAGAATAGCTCTAGACAGAGGGAAAGAAGCACATGTTCCTGATTTTCAGGCCATGGTTTACATGGAGACTCTGTGCTCGTTGCAGCACAGAAAGCTTTGCTTACCCAGATTTTCCTCAACTGATTATGGCAGCGTTTTGTTCTGCCACAAATCAAACTGTGGCCAAAGCCCTCAGAGAGTAGCTAGCTTTAAAGAAATGCAGCAAATATTCTTTAACGAATAATTTGTCTCTTACCTGCTCTAATCCTGGATGTGACAGCACTGGAAATTTATGTACAGAGGATGATCGCTCCCCGCCCCAAAGTTCTTTTCAGAGTTATGTGTTGGTTTGCAGTAATGTAAATGTAGAGGTCTTCGCCCTCCTGATATTCAGACATTATTTCTTTTTCTTTTTTCTTTTCCTTTCTGGATGTGGTATCTTGTGTCACTAACCGGCAATTCTCACTTTTTGTTTTCCAGAATGTGTGCTTTATTACACCCCAGTTTTTATATCAGTTCTATTGTTTGTTTTCACAACAAGTACGTACTTCTCTGTCTTACCTTTTCCCCCTCCCCTGGTGTAGACTTATGGGCGGGTTAGGAAAGTTAAAAAAAAAAATCTTTCTAGAGAATGTGTAGCCGGAAGGGGGGGAAAAACACACCCAAGAGGTGCTGTTAGACTGTATAGCAACCGAAATTTAATGGCAGCTAATTACTGACTGCCGGGAGGCCTGTTAATATTATCTCAGTAAATCTCTTCCTCATCCACCACCACCCCCCAACATATTTACCTTTTAAAGCGATTGAGAAAGGTGTAGATGGAACGACAGACTTTACCCTGTTTTTGTGAAGAAGTGTTTTATTTGCATGGGACGGAAGGTGAAAATAACCTCTGAGGGTCATTTAAGGACTTGGCCCTGCTGAACAGGGGGAAATGATACCTTTCTTTGGATCAGTTGATTAGGCATCACTGTTTTCCCTTCCTCTTTGGCATTGGAGACAGCTAGGAAGGGTAGATTTCCTAGGGTGATGTGTAGCGCTTTTTGTCTAATGGATTTCTGTGCAGCCCGAAGGCCACAATTGCGGTTATAGAATCATAAAGAGTTGGAAAGGCCCATCAGGGCCATCTAGTCTGACCCCTGCTCAATGCAGGATCAGCCTAGAGCATCCCTGACAAGTGTTTGTCCAGCTGCTGCTTAAATACTGCCAGGGAGGGGGCGCTCACCAACTCCCCAGGCAGCTGATTCCACAGCTGAACTACTCTTACTATAAAAACATTTCCTAATATCCAGCTGGTACCTTCCTGCCCGTAATCGGTTTAGTCAGGAATGTTGTTCCAGATCATGTTAACAACTCTTGAACTCCTTGGACTTTACCGTCTGAATTTTCCCGCCCTGAGCCATTCCAGTGGTTGCTTGCCTTTTCGTGGCAGTTACTTGCCTTCGGGCACTTCCCAGCACTGGCTGGTTGTCTTTTCTACATTTGTGGCGTGGGTATGGAGGATATCTGCACCCCATCCTTCCTTCCATTCATAGCCTGTATGCTAGGTTCAGCTAAGGTAGCTCTCCAGCCACTGGGTTTGCCATGCATGAACACATACGTGTGGTTTTTCCCGCTGGGAATGGAAGACTCTCTAGACGTCTCTTTATAGGCTCTTTGTAACTCTGGCTGGTTCTGAGAGCACCTCGTCCAGACCTGCCCAGGGCAGTGGATGGCTAAATGGGATCTCAGCCAAGATTGTTTAAGACACACCCCGCCAGCTCCCTGAAGTAAAATATTACTATGGAAATGGTTTACTGTAACGAGAGGTAGAAGAACCTTAAATGACTTCCTCACCTTTTCCAACCAGCCAAATTCTCGGGGCCTTAAGCTAGGCGTGCTCGCTTGCTGTCTTACTGGTAAAACTGTTCCTAGAACAACTGTAGCAGAGTACTTAAGTTGGGGGGGGGGGAAGCATGAGAAAAATATACGCTTGCACCAGATGTGTGCTTTTTTAGAAGTGTGGGTTTTAGCAAACTGTGGCATTGACTTCAGACGTGACCGTTTTTCATACGGAAATGTCATTATAACCTAAAACAGAAGGGTTGGGTTGATTGTGCTCTGAACGTGTTTTTGTTTGTGTATTCTGTATTAGTTTTGTTGGGTTGACTGTAGTAAAGGCCTTTGGCTGTAATATAAAATCTCACCCATGAATTAACTAATCATTTTGCCTAGGAGTCGTTTCTTTAAATTCCTGCATCTAAAAACTATTAAATTACCTCCTTCCTCACTTTTCAGACGCTGTATGACAGTGTATACCTGACTTTGTACAACATTTGTTTCACTTCCTTGCCGGTCCTCATGTACAGTCTTCTTGAACAGCATGTGCACCCTCACGTGCTGCAGAGCAAGCCAGCGCTCTACCGGTAAGCATGATCTTATTTTTATTTATTTATTTCCCCTTCTGTTGGGCTCAAAGAATAGCCAGCGTGAAGCTGCTAGTGTGTCGCAGTTGACTTTCCTTAAGGTTATTATTCATCCACATCTGCTCTTGCATAAGCAGCTGAGTTTCTTTCTTCGTTTTAAGAACATAAGCGAACATAAGAGATGCCAGTGTTGGATCAGGCCAAAGGCCCATCCAGTCCAACACTCTGTGTCACACAGTGGCCAGAAATACCAGGTGCCATCAGGAGGTCCACCAGTGGGGCCAGGACATTAGAAGCCCTCCCACTGTTGACCCCCCCCAAGCACCAAGATGACAGAGCATCACTTGCCCCAGAACCCCTATCTTTGGGAGTCCTTACATTTGGGGATGGTCAGAGTGGTGGATGGGCCTAGTGGTAGAGCTGCATGCCTCGCGTGCAGAAAGGACCCGGGCATCTCCAGCAAAGATCACAGGTAGGACTAGAAAAGTCTCCTACCAGAGTTTTCAGAGCGCCTCTGGCAGGGGTTCCCAACCTTTTTGAGCCTGTGGGCGCCTTTGGAATTCTGATACAGTGTGGTGGGCACACCCACACAATGGTGGCTGTGGATGTTGGAACCGGCTACAAAATGGTGGCTGCAGGGGGCGGAGGAATTCCTTTTATTTATTTATTGTTTGTTTGTTTGTATTTATGCCTCGCCTTGCCTGACAAGCAGGCTCAAGGCGGCCAACAAGATTAAATAACATAACAAAAAATTAAAACAATTAATAAATACAATATCAGTTAAAGCAAGTCAACAACACCAATTATAGTACCAACTATGGCGGTAATCCAATCAAATCCCGAGATAGGGGTAGTAACCAGCGGGGACTTGAGCCAGGAGATGGTCCAAGTTTGGCCAGAAGACGTTCCAGGGCACACCCCTCAGTGGCGGCCCCTAATCGAATGCCTGGCGGAAGAGCTCCGTTTTACAGGCCCTGTGGAACTGTGAGTGGTCCCGCAAGGCCCTGATGTTCTCTGGGAGCTCGTTTCACCAGTGTGGGGCCGCCAC